AATCCGATGTCGTCACAGATGATTCACAGCCCAATGTCATCACAGGTGCTCCTTTTAACTTTGATTTGGTCCAGTGCCAGGTACTTAGTAGTACTACTAGTGGAGCCCTTAATTATCTGACCAAATACATAATAAAATAATTAAAGTATCAATTAGTAAAGGTACGAGAAAGTGATGAATCGTCACAGTATTTACATGTACAGATTTTTAGATAAAAGTTATGTTCGTGAAAAATGTTTCACAAACTTTCCATATTTTACATATTTGAAACTGTTTACTTGTACCCCTTACATGTATATACGACCAAAGACTACGAATTATTCTTTAATTGATTCATCAGCCAAATGCTGAAGGATCGAAGATGTCCAATTTATGCTCATAGACCCATCTGAGTTAAAGATTTGATAACAATTTGGAAACGTTTTAACCATTTTAAGTAGAACCATTGATTAAAAACAATTTCCAAGTTGACCCCTTTTTAGGTCACCCGAGTAAACCCAGTCTACCTATTGCTATCCGTTTTCGTCCGTCGTCGTGCGCCGTGCATTAACATTTGTACATTTTCAGCATCTTCTCTGCAACCACTTAACCAATTTCAACCAAATTTGGCACAAAGCATCAATGGGTGAAGGGGGACAAATATAGTGAATTTCATGGTTCCTGCCCCCTGGGCCTGAGGAGTTTCTTTACGTTTTTTTTTTTCAAATCATTCTCCATCATTTGGTGAAATGAAGTCCTTTTGTTTTCATGTGTATACTCTTCTTAACACCCTTTCATTCTTTAGATAAAGTCCCTTTGTCATTTTTATGTATCGACTCTACTTACCAAGTTTGTGAACATTATCCCGTGGATGAAGACATTGTGTCTTTTTATGTATCGACTCTTCTTACCAGATTTGTAAACATTATCCCGTGGATGAAGTTATTGTGTCTTTTTATGTATCGACTCTATTTACCAGGTTTGTAAACATTATCCCGTGGATGAAGACATTGTGTCTTTTTATTTGTCTACTCTACTCACCAGGTTTCTGAACATTATCCCGTGGATGAAGTCATTGTGTCTTTTTATGTATCGACTCTACTTACCAGGTTTGTGAACATTATCCCGTGGATGAAGACATTGTGTCTTTTTATTTGTCGACTCTACTCACCAGGTTTCTGAACATTATCCCGTGGATGAAGACATTGTGTCTTTTTATGTATCGACTCTACTTACCAGGTTTGTGTACATTATCCCGTGGATGAAGACATTGTGTCTTTTTATGTATCGACTCTTCTTACCAGGTTTGTAAACATTATCCCGTGGATGAACACTTTGTGTCTTTTTATGTATCGACTCTACTAACCAGGTTTGTGAACATTATCCCGTGGATGAAGGCATTGTGTCTTTTTATGTATCGACTTTACTTACCAGGTTTGTGAACATTATCCCGTGGATGAAGACATTGTGTCTTTTTATGTATCGACTCTTCTTAACAGGTTTGTGAACATTATCCCGTGGATGAAGACATTGTGTCTTTTTATGTATCGACTTTACTTACCAGGTTTGTAAACATTATCCCGTGGATGAAGTCATTGTGTCTTTTTATGTATCGACTCTATTTACCAGGTTTGTAAACATTATCTTGTGGATGAAGACATTGTGTCTTTTTATTTGTCGATTCTTCTTACCAGGTTTGTGAACATTATCACGTGGATGAAGTCCTTTTGTCTTTTTATGTATCGACTCTACTCACCAGGTTTCTGAACATTATCCCGTGGATGAAGTCATTGTGTCTTTTTATGTATCAACTCTTCTTACCAGGTTTGTAAACATTATCCCGTGGATGAACACTTTGTGTCTTTTTATGTATCGACTATACTTACCAGGTTTGTGTACATTATCCCGTGGATGAAGACACTGTGTCTTTTTATGTATCGACTCTATACTTACCAGGTTTGTGAACATTATCCCGTGGATGAAGACATTGTGTCTTTTTATGTATCGACTCTATTTACCAGGTTTGTGAACATTATCCCGTGGATGAAGTCATTGTGTCTTTTTATGTATCGACTCTCCTTACCAGGTTTGTGAACATTATCCCGTGGATGAAGACATTGTGTCTTTTTATGTATCGACTTTACTTACCAGGTTTGTGAACATTATCCCGTGGATGAAGACATTGTCTTTTTATGTATCGACTCTTCTTTCCAGGTTTGTGAACATTATCCCGTGGATGAAGACATTGTGTCTTTTTATGTATCCACTTTACTTACCAGGTTTGTGAACATTATCCCGTGGATGAAGACATTGTGTCTTTTTATGTATCGAATCTACTTACCAGGTTTGTGTACATTATCCCGTGGATGAAGACATTGTGTCTTTTTATGTATCGACTCTACTTACCAGGTTTGTGAACATTATCCCGTGGATGAAGTCATTGTGTCTTTTTATGTATCGACTCTACTTACCAGGTTTGTGTACATTATCCCGTGGATGAAGACATTGTGTCTTTTTATGTATCGACTTTACTTACCAGGTTTGTGAACATTATCCCGTGGATGAAGTCATTGTGTCTTTTTATGTATCGACTCTTCTTTCCAGGTTTGTGAACATTATCCCGTGGATGAAGACATTGTGTCTTTTTATGTATCGACTCTATTTACCAGGTTTGTGAACATTATCCCGTGGATGAAGTCATTGTGTCTTTTTATGTATCGACTCTACTTACCAGGTTTGTGTACATTATCCCGTGGATGAAGACATTGTGTCTTTTTATGTATCGACTCTACTTACCAGGTTTGTGAACATTATCCCGTGGATGAAGTCATTGTGTCTTTTTATGTATCGACTCTACTTACCAGGTTTGTGTACATTATCCCGTGGATGAAGACATTGTGTCTTTTTATGTATCGACTTTACTTACCAGGTTTGTGAACATTATCCCGTGGATGAAGACATTGTCTTTTTATGTATCGACTCTTCTTTCCAGGTTTGTGAACATTATCCCGTGGATGAAGACATTGTGTCTTTTTATGTATCCACTTTACTTACCAGGTTTGTGAACATTATCCCGTGGATGAAGACATTGTGTCTTTTTATGTATCGACTCTATTTACCAGGTTTGTGAACATTATCCTGTGGATGAAGTCATTGTGTCTTTTTATGTATCGACTCTACTTACCAGGTTTGTGTACATTATCCCGTGGATGAAGACATTGTGTCTTTTTATGTATCGACTCTACTTACCAGGTTTGTGAACATTATCCCGTGGATGAAGACATTGTGTCTTTTTATGTATCGACTCTACTTACCAGGTTTGTGTACATTATCCCGTGGATGAAGACATTGTGTCTTTTTATGTATCGACTTTACTTACCAGGTTTGTGAACATTATCCCGTGGATGAAGACATTGTCTTTTTATGTATCGACTCTTCTTTCCAGGTTTGTGAACATTATCCCGTGGATGAAGACATTGTGTCTTTTTATGTATCCACTTTACTTACCAGGTTTGTGAACATTATCCCGTGGATGAAGACATTGTGTCTTTTTATGTATCGACTCTATACTTACCAGGTTTGTGAACATTATCCCGTGGATGAAGTCATTGTGTCTTTTTATGTATCGACTCTATTTACCAGGTTTGTGAACATTATCCCGTGGATGAAGTCATTGTGTCTTTTTATGTATCGACTCTATTTACCAGGTTTGTGAACATTATCCCGTGGATGAAGTCATTGTGTCTTTTTATGTATCGACTCTACTTACCAGGTTTGTGTACATTATCCCGTGGATGAAGACATTGTGTCTTTTTATGTATCGACTCTACTTACCAGGTTTGTGAACATTATCCCGTGGATGAAGTCATTGTGTCTTTTTATGTATCGACTCTGCTTACCAGGTTTGTCTCCTCAAACCCGTGGATGAAGACCTTGGCCTCTCTCCATACTCCATACTCTGTAATGTTTCCGTTTCCAAACTGCAGCCTCGGCTGGTTAGGGCCCATGTTTGTCCTCAACAGTATGACTTCAAGATCCGCTCTTTTATCGGCTAAGTTGTACCAAAACCTCACACAAAAATCGCTGTCTGTAATAAATATATCAAAGATACTGTTAAAACTAAGACAATGTATTATATAATCTAAATGTAATTTCATGTAAAAGATATAGAAAAAAGAAAGTAAATTGTCCCAAACCTGAAAACGATTTTATGTGTATCTGGGAAATGCTTCATAACGTTAAAGGGGGGGGGAGGGGAAGCACTTCCCTCAAATTTACTGTAACTGATCTTAAAACCCCTGCAAATCATCTGAAATTACACCTGGGTTTGGATACTTTGATTTGATCGACATATAGTTTTCTGCCGTTGTGATTAATATTCAGGCTTTTGACGCCTAATGCATTATGGATGAATAAATGTGCGTTAACTAATGAATTGACTAATTAAAATGATCGATTGTAATTGCAATTACTGTGAAATGACCCCTACCCCCTCCCTCCCCTATCAAAATTAAAATCATTTATTTAATTATTTGATGGATTGATTTTACTTATGGCATATTCTTATAAATTAAACAAGAGCACTTTGCTTGCTTCATTATCACGACGGCATGTGCGCTAGACATCAAAAGCCTGAATGTTAATTTGATAGTCGGTACGGTGTCCACACAAGGTAAACAAGATATACACAACGGCAGAAAACTATATGTCAATCAAATCAAAGTATCCTATCCCAGGCTTAATTTCAGATGATTGACAGAGCTTCTAAGATCAGGTATATTTAAGGTGCTTATTTCCTCCTCCTTTATGTCATCGCGCGATTAAAAGTTCGTGTGTGCATGGGCTGTTTACTTTAAAATTTTACGTGCATGGGCTGTTTACTTTAAAATTTTACGTGCATGGGCTGTTTACTTTAATATTTTACGTGCATGGGCTGTTAATTAACTTAACATTTTACGTACATGGGCTGTTTACTTTAACAGCAATATAAAAGATCAAATATTTTTGATTTACTCACTCATTTAGGAATCCATTAAACACTTTTTTCCTTTTGTCAAATTAAAGTTAATCTTGGTAATTGAAGTCTTACTGTCGTATCTTTTTCCTATTCCGTAGATGGTCAGCTCAAACTTCTCGCCCCTTATAATCCGGCCGTGGTGCACAGTGCCATCCTGTCCGTCCTTTTATAAGTAAAGGGTCAACAAAACCAATTACAATAAACATTCAGATCCAAGACAAACTGTATAATTACAGTTTACTTTAAAGGTAGTATCATTTTTTACAATGCATCGTATCTTTTCCTAGGTACCTCTTTATTCCACTTAACTTTAAGGAGGCTGAGGAGTCAACCGTTTAACCACCAAATTTAACTTTTAAGTTAAATACTAAATATGATATCTTAAGCTTTCAACAGTCAATTTAGCAAAGAAAAACTTCATACATTTTAGTTTTAACATTTGACAATTTTATATATTTTTATATTATTTTTATCATTTATTCCCAGCTCTCTGATTGGCTCAAACTTGATCACATGATTTAGTATATAACAGCATAAAGACTTGAGTTACTATTTATAGAATCTGAAATGCATATCGACTTGAGGTTTCTTAAAATGGAGATAATTTCTGTGAAACAAAATAGTACTGTATTCAATCAAAGCTAATACAGTGTATGATTTGATGTTTATAGAAAAAAAAATATTTATTTCAACTTTTACCAACTTTTTTTCAATGTTCTGTATTTGATGAGTCAAAAGAAGGCATTGGATTAGGATTTCTTCACATTAATTCAAACATATTTGATATGTGTGTCAAATATTGGTACAAAACTTAATCAAATAAATGAAGTATTCTGAATAAGTAAATCTTCTAAGTCACTCCATCAATATAAGGAAACGCATTTTCATTAAACGGTGTAATTTATTTTGATCTCTAGTCTCTAAATGTTAAAGGGAGAAAACTTTTCCAATTATTTTCATAATTTGTTTTGTCAATCTATGTGAAAAATAATATAACAAATGTAGCCCTTTAATTCGGTCAATCCATAGATATATCGACTTCACAGAAAAGCATATCGACCTCGCACTTCGTGCTCGTTCGATATGCTTTTCTGTGAAGTCGATATATCTATGGATTGACCTCATCAAAGGGCTATATTTATATAATATGGAGTTTTTCTTCTAAAGGAGGTCAAAATAGTCTTAAAATGGCCACAATCCCTAGCCCATTTAAGGTGTTTTTCTAATAATTCCACAAAATTTTACTAAAATTAAAAATTTTTGACCAATATACTCTAGTAAAGCCAAATAATAATTATTCTTTTTTTCATGTTTTTATTAGAAAGAATGATTTTAAAACTGTTTTGTTTACAAACTGGACACTCGAGAGAACTGCTTGTAAATATGATTTATTGTATTGATAAGATATGCGGTGATTTACTGTGTAGATAAAATACGAGATGCTCTATGCATGAACAATTTCTAAAACAAGCTAAATTACTTGCCTGTAAGTTGATTAAACAAGAATATCAGCAGTCTCGTTTAAAGTCATCATTTTGTAAGTTCTATCATCGATACAATGACCTTGTCAGCAAATATAATTTATCATTGAGTCAAGTGCGGAACTGACGTTTTTCATACTAATTGTTAGTCCATTATTTAAACACGGGTTTTTCCGTTATTTCCTGATCATGACAAAAATCACACACAACTGATGTGATCGGTCAGCAGGGATGTTTAGTCCTCCATGGCACCTGATCCCACCTTTGATGTTTCGGGGGTCTGTGTTTGCTCTGCTCCTATTATTTATTGTTTTATGGACTTTGATATGGAATACTGTTCGTTATCTCAATATCCTTCTTACTGTATAGATAAGATACGCGATGATATTCTGTATAGATAAAATACGCCATGATATTCTGTATAGATAAAATACGAAATGGTTTACTGTATAGATAAGATACGCGATGATTTACTAAATGGATAAAATACGCGATGATTCACTGTATAGATAAGATCCGCGATGATTTACTGAATGGATAAAATATGCGATGATTCACTGTATAGATAGGATACGCGATGATTTACAGTATAGATAAAATACGAGATGGTTTACTGTATAGATAAGATACGCAATGATTTACTGCATAGATAAAATACGCGATGATATTCTGTATAGATAAAATATAAGATAATTTACTGTATTGATAAAATAGGAGATGATTTACTATATAGATAAAATAAGAGATGATATACTGTATTGATAAACTAGGAGATGATTTAATGTATACATGTAGATGAAATACGCGATGATTTAAAAATGACGACTTACTGGATGGAAGGTAATATTTCCGGTTTTGACGAAATCCTTTTCTGTGTCTATGTCCCACCCAAACCGATAGATTCCATCTAGATACAACATTACAACATTGATATCGACATCTGACGAGATATCCATAAATACAACATTAAACACAGATATCGACATCTGACGAGATATCCATAAAATAACATAAAAACATAGATATTGACATCTGACGAGATATCTATAAAACATTAAAGCATAGATATTGTCATCTGAGGAGATACTGAGTATCCATAAATACAACATTACAACATAGATATCGACATATGACGAGATATCAACTTTTCAACACATAACACATAACAGATATTGCCTTCTGATGAAAAACAAATGCAACACAGATATTTCCCTCTGATGAAATTCCAACAAATACAACTCAGATATCGTCTTCTAATGAGATATCAAAAACATTACAACACATATTCTGACTGGATATCGAATATACAACAAAGATATCACCTTCTGGTGCGCAAGTTATCAACATTACAGACAATAGGTTGACGAGATATCAACTTCAACAACATAAAAATATAACATTTTATATCATATTTTGAGATATTTACATATACAACATACACTTATATTTATGACGGTATTTTATAGGAGCTGCAGACTGAGTGATTTAACAAACAATTCTGTTGTTTCCCGTCACAGTCTACAACTACCTTAAAACACACCCTATAAAAATCACAAAGTCACAGATACACCGTAAGACACACAAAAACAAGCTAAAGTCACAAGGGCACCATTGCTATCAACAGGACACTGTATTACTTTTGGTTAGACACAAGCTAAAGTCACTGAGACACCATAGCTAGTCACAAAGACACTAGGGACCTGGGTCCCTGGGTCCCTTGGCTGAGTGGTCTAACTAACAATTCTGTTGTTTCCCGACACAGCCCAGGTACCCTTCCAAAGTCACCTAACTCCGACAAGTAGAAAAACACCAAAAGTAAACGAAACTAGATTGATCCCTGTATTTATACTATTTCTCCTTTTTTTATGCCTAATTTCTAATGATTGGTTAATAATTTTAATTATTTGGTTGGCTAAAACATCAACTCTCTTTGGCTACACATAATAAAATTTGATTGGGTGATTCAAAATTGCCTACTAGTATTTCAACCCACTTTGCTAATTCCGATTTATTACAAAATTAGCCCTAACAAAAAGAAATCCTAAGGGACAAATTAAATCAATATTTTGTTGTCGCCGGCGTGGAGCAGTGATTAGAGCGTCTGCTCTAGAGTTGCAAAGTAAGGCGTGGATCCTTACGTCGCGGGTTCGAATCCCACTGTAGCAATTAAAGATCACATCCGCACCGAGACTATTACAGAGATCTTACGGAGTTGTGGCCCCTTCCAAAAAGGAAGAGAAGGCTACATTTTTGCAACTAGATTGCTTAGTGAACAATGTTTGCTAAAAGCAGGAAAGTTTTCTCCAAGTAAAGAAATTTAGTAAGTACAAAATCATGCATTAGAACTTACATTGACATTTACTTCCGGACCATTTAGGCGGACAACGGCAGATCCCATCTGTGTTGATGTCGCTAGCGTCACACGTACCGTTATTAAAGCAGGTCTCGTCATGGCGACATCCGTAGTGTTGGCAGTAAAGACCGACGTAACCATATATACAAATACAGCGGGAAGAAAACTCAAACCCTGTAACGTTCAGTCGCTCACATCTCTCAGTTCCCTCCTCGTGACAACGTTTACATTCGGTAAAATAATTGTGAGTCCGTGCAACTGTCAGAAAAATATTTAAAAAAAACGATCTAAACAACATATGATACAAATCTATGAAATCACTGAAATGGGCTAAAATATGGAAACCTGGAAAATCCAGAGGTGGGGTCAGTTTTCGAGATTTCTTGATATCTCAAAAAAGTATAGATCACCAATAAATAAATAAAAGTTAAACGGTTTCTCTTATATCTTTGATTTTCTTTAGTGCAATTCATTCACTTGTTTTAAATAATGTGTACACCTTGTGACAAAACTTTTCTTTGGGTACCAACAAATGTGACCTTTTGACCTTGAAGTTTGATCTACCTTTACACAAAAATTCCGAACTTTTACTTTGGCCATAACTTTGAAATGCTAAAATGTTGGACTTTCATATTTCACATATGTATTTCTTGTGGCATGGCCTTAGATACCAACAACCTTGACCTATTACCCTTGACCTTGGAGATTTCTTTACTTGTGAAAAAAATTTAAACCTTGTCCATAACTTTTGAACGGTAAGGGATAGGGCTTTCATACTTCACTTAAGTAATTCTCGTGAGAAGACTCTTCATTGGATACAAAGAACTTCGACCCTTTGACCTTGACCTTGGAGTTTAACTTACTTTTAAAAAACAAACTTTAACGATAACTTTTAAAGGGTTAGGGCTAATGCTTTCGTGTTTTACATATTTAATCCTTGTGACAGGACCTTTCATTGGATTTCAAGAATGACCTTGACCTTTGAGTTTCACCTACTTTTACTTCAAAAAAAAATCTTTGGGTAATAATAATATATTTAATTTGCATTTAAGAAAAGTTTCATCTTCGCTATGTTGCCATTAGTGGTCTTCATTGTTTCACAAACACTTCTTGTTCCTCATATTGAGAAGAGATATGGCTTTCATATCTGACATGTGCATTACCTGTGACAAAATATTTCCTAGCATGCTATGCATTGTGACCTATTGACCTTGACCTTCAGGATTGTTTTTTAATTTCTAAATGACATATGACAGGACGTTCGTATTTGAGACAATATGTCGTAAAAAATGACTTCTCATCTACAAAGACACCGGAAGCGGGGGGCCACAATTCTTTTTTGTCTTAGAACGTCATACAAAATGCATTTGAAAAGGAAATGATTCGAACTTTAAATCATGGTTCTTAAAGAAAACACAAATTCAGTCAAATATTCGTAAGTAACGGAATCTCCCAGAGTCAATGTTTTTGTACTGTGGCAGATGTTGATCTCTCCTTTATTATTTTTATTATTTATTTCTACCATATTGTACAAACATGTGCTAAAATGTGAGCATAAAACAACGTATACATAGGTTCATAATTTTGAAAATGGTTTTCTCCTCACCAACTCTGAAGATATACATAAATTCCTGAAAACACAACTGCTTAAGACAAATTTTTATAAAGAGTATAAAGCTTTTCATATATGCCCATGTACATGTACATGTATTACGAAACCCTATCATTGTTGTTTAAAATCCCTACATGTACCTCTGTTGGAATTTGTTCCATTCAATGACAGAACAATTCATGCCTGTATGAATATGTTCCAGTCAGTGTGAACAATATTACCCCTTTATGAATATGTTCCATTTAATGAAAGAACAATCTTACCCCTGTAGGAGTATGTTCCGTTTAACCTTGAAAGATCTTACCTCTGTAACAGTATATTTCACTCAGTGACAGAACAATGAAAAGGCAGGGACATACTAATTGACGGAGCAGCATCTTTCACCTCCCGATTACGCTGTGATGGATTTAACAATTTTCAAGAGCCCTTTATACATTTTTAATTCTCATTACTATTGATTATTTTTTCATCTGATAAATGTTATTTCCCATGAAGACTTCGACTTTCAATTTTCTTTTATTATGTATCACTCCTTGAGTTAATTAAGATACCGATCTTGATAATTTGATATAACAAAAAAAGTACATTTGTATTATAACAGTAGTACATTTGGTAATGACTCTGCTATTATCAACAGTTTGTATGTGTCGACTTAATAATAAATGGCTATTAATCGTATTTTTATCTAACTCTGTCACAAAGTACAAGAAAACTTTTAATTTTATAAACTGCACAGAATATACACTATACCCACATAAACTACACAGAATATACACTATATCCACATAAACTATACAGAATATACACTATACCCACATAAACTATACAGAATATACACTATACCCACATAAACTATACAGAATATACACTATACCCACATAAACTATACAGAGTGTACACTATACCCACATAAACTATACAGAATATACACTATACCCACATAAACTATACAGAATATACACTATACCCACATAAACTATACAGAGTGTACACTATACCCACATAAACTATACAGAATATACACTATGCCCACATAAACTATACAGAATATACACTATACCCACATAAACTACACAGAATGTACACTATACCCACATAAACTACACAGAATATACACTATACCAACAACCTTCTTGTCAATATGACTACTTTGACTACATATACTCACTTAGGACTTTTTTCTTTCTGGACGTTATACCCATTCATGACTACTGTTTTCTGAATTAGGTATACTCACTTATGACTACTGTTATCTGGACTAGTTATACACACTTATGACTACTTCTTTCTGGACTAGTTATACTCACTTATGACTACTGTTATCTGGACTAGTTATACCCACTTATGACTACTGTTATCTGGAATAGTTATACTCACTTATAACTTCTGTTATCTGGACTAGTTACACACACTTATGACTACTGCTTTCTGGACTAGTTATACCCACTTATGACTTTTGTTATCAGGACTAGATATATCCATTTATAACAACTGTTTTCTGGACTAGTTATACTCACTTATGACTACTGTTATCTGAACTAGTTATACACACTTATGACTACTGTTATCTGGACTAATTATACTCACTTATGACTACTGTGATTTGGACTAGTTATACACACTTATGACTACTGTTATCTAGATTAGTTATAAACACTGATGACTACTGTTATCTGGACTAGTTATACCCAATTATGACTACTGCCTTCTGGACTAGTTACACACACTTATAACTACTGTTATTTGGACTAGTTGTACCCATTTATGACTACTGTTTATCTGGACTAGTTATACACACTTATGACTACTGTTATCTGGACTAGTTATACACACTTATGACTTCTGTTATCTGGACTAGTTATACCCATTAATGACTACTGTTTATCTGGACTAGTTATACACACTTATGACTACTGTTATTTGGACTAGTTATACACACTTATGACTACAGTTATCTGGAATAGTTATACTCACTTATAACTTCTGTTATCTGGACTAGTTACACACACTTATGACTACTGCTTTCTGGACTAGTTATACCCACTTATGACTTTTGTTATCAGGACTAGATATATCCATTTATAACAACTGTTATCTGGACTAGTTATACACACTTATGACTTCTGTTATTTGGACTAGTTATACTCACTTATGACTACTGTTATCTGAACTAGTTATACACACTTATGACTACTGTTATTTGGACTAGTTATACACTTATGACTACTGTTATCTGGACAGGTTATACACACTTATGAATTCTGTTTTCTGGACTAGTTATACCCACTAATGACTACTTTTATCTGGACTAGTTATATACACTTATGACTACTTATCTGGACTAGTTATACACACTTATGACTACAGTTATCTGGACTAGTTATACTCACTTATAACTTCTGTTATCTGGACTAGTTACACACACTTATGACCTTTGTTATCTGGACTAGATATATCCATTTATAAGAACTGTTTTCTGGACTAGTTATACACTTATGACTACTGTTATCTGGACTAGTTATACTCACTTATGAATTCTGTTGTCTGGACTAGTTATACCCACTTAGGACTACTGTTATCTAATGACTACTATTATCTGGACTAGTTATACACACTTATGACTTCTGTTATCTGGACTAGTTATACCCACTTATGACTACTGTTATCTGGACTAGTTATACACACTTATGACTACTGTTATCTGGACTAGTTATACACACTTATGACTTCTGTTATCTGGACTAGTTATACACACTTATGACTTCTGTTATCTGGACTAGTTATACACACTTATGACTACTGTTATCTGGACTAGTTATACACACTTATGACTTCTGTTATCTGGACTAGTGATATACACTTATGACTACTGTAATCTGGACTAGTTATATACACTTATGACTACTGTAATCTGGACTATTTATACACACTTACTGTATGACTTCTGTTATCTGGATTAGTTATGCACACTTATGACTACTTTTATCTGGACTAGTTATACCCACGTATGACTATTGTTATCTGAAGTAGTTATACACACTCATGACTTCTGTTATCTGGATTAGTTATGCACACTTATGACTACTGTTATCTGGACTAGTTATACACACTTATGACTTCTGTTGTCTGGACTAGTTATACACACTTATGACTACTGTTTTCTAAACTAGTTATACTCACTTATGGCTATTGTTTTCTGGACTAGTTAAACTTATACATATATTCACATTATTTTTAAGGTTTATTGACCAGCTTTAAAGGAGAGATTACTTTAAATTGGATATATAAATCATATTTAGAGGGCTCGGGGGTCGCGATAGCTAAAGATATCATATATGAAAAATTAAGTTAAATCTGATGGTTAATTAGATCACCCCCCAGCCTCCTTAAGAGAATAAAATTTAGGAATGAAAATCTTCAATATTTAAGTAAACAATGCTCAGTAAATTTTGTAATTTGATATGTGCTTGTATGTTCAAGTACTACTTTTCCCCATTTTTTGGATGATGAGGATACCATTTGCACCTCTTTCTGTAGTGGGCTGCAATCTGGAATCTTGCGCATGGCGTAAAATATTAATGTGACTTATTGATTCACATTGTACCCTTACAAATAGGGAAACATCTACCAGGGCTTTAATTATCAGAAAGTATAAGGTCACGGAGGGTCACAGAATACCGTAATTTGTATGGTTTAAAAAGTACCGTGGCTTACACAGTTCAGAAACTACCCTAGGCTATATTGGGCTGGCCATTTGATACCGTAACTTACATGAGTATGAAAATACCGTAACAGCGAGGTTAAAAAGTACTTATCTTACATGGGTAACATTTACCGCTAACGGTAAAAAATTAAATACTTACATGAGTACGATAAAACGGTATGTAACTTTCAAAAGAATAGTAACTTACATCGGCTAGACAGTACTTAAATGTCAGTACGGACTAACGTTAGTCTGATAGTATTTTGACTAATATGTGTCAGGTTTTTTTTTTTGTCAATTCGTTAAACTCATACTTGCGAGATATATGGGTATTTATTGTTAACATAACAACAACATGTGCATTTATAAAAGACGATTAAAAATCTATCTAAAAACATTTGATAAATAATCATTGTGATGTATAATATATATACGTGCCATGCACACATTAATTACAAAAAATTAAAATTATAAACGTTGCCCAATCTCATTCATCAGGAGGTAGGGAAGTTTCTGTCACGTGACTTTTTTCCCTCCGTAGGAGGCTGATGATGAGATCATGACAGACATGAGTATTTTGAAGTGAGCAGTTCAGTTCAGAACGGTTTAGTTGTCAGGCTGCATTACCGTGGAGAAATAAAGTTTTCTATAAATCACGCGGACTTCTTGACGTCACCGTTTCGCGCTTTGTTGGCCTCGGAGTCTTCAAAGTTCCAGTCCACGGGGGTGATCATCTGCTGCGTTTTCTTGTAGGTCCAATATGGCGTCATGAGAAAGGTTACAAGTGTCAGCTGAATGTAAAGGAAAGAGAAGATGGACAACGGCATGGCCGACCAGATCCGCTCCCAGTGAATATACGTCAGGTACCACATAAAACACTCCACCACGGAACGCAGGTGAAATGTGTGGACCAGAATAAACTGGTTAGCGCGCCAAAGCAAAGAATCCGCTTTCCCCGCCTTCAGCACGGTCCAACAGATGGCCGAGAAAGGGGTACTCATTTCTAGAATCAGTCCTTTTGTTCCGAAGCAGTGCGCAGCCTCCGTGAGCATCAGAGTGGTGTAGCCAAACAAAGACAGCCAGTGGTGAATGTTTAACAGAATGCTCACCTTTCTGTACACAATGTCAGACACCATGATGGCGCTACATTCAAACACGAAGAAGCCGACCGTGACGGTTAGGGCGAAATAACTCGTGGGGGACGTGGCGAACACGGGGTCCTTCTCTAACTCTGTGTCCACGAAAATCGCCCACATCCCGACAATAGTGCAAAAAATCCCATACACCGCGCGGACAACCGCCAACTTCCAAAACATCTTCTCTTTTTCACGTAAGTTCCGGTAAGTCCACGTTGCCATGGAAACTGTTCCCGTCAGAACGTACAGGACGGCGAAAAACATAAATGAACCGAAAATGAAGGCGGCTTTTACAGTCCCTTTACGATAATCCATTTCTGCCAAAGCAGGATGAATGTGTTCCACAAGTCCCATCGTGACTGAAACAGAATCAAAGATTAAGTTAGACTAAAGGTGGTTATCATAGCTGGAAATTGAAATGAAAATTTAGACAACCGTAAATAGGTCTGAAAGACAGAACAATAGCAGCTGAACACGGTCCGAAAATCGTAAACAGGTTTAAAAGAAACATTTACAAAGAATGCGCTCAAGATAGAAGGGCCTAGCCTCTACGTGGAGCTTCGGTCTTGAACGCTAGTAGCTAGCATAAAGAATTCGTGCTGGGTACCAAAGCAAAGAAATCTCCTTAGTTACCTCTTTCCATTATTTGAGATAATAAAAGAAAAAAATTTTTTTTTGCCGTCTTGACGAATTACATGTTAAATATACACATGTTTGCTCGAGTTCAGCTTTTTTTTCCAAAAATAGGTTACTACCAAGAAATTTGTTTTTATAAAACCTAAAACCTAGCGGAGAACGGAAGGAATGGGGCGCCTTTGATTTGGATTCGGAAGGAGTAGGTCGCAGTTGAGGAGAGAAATCGTATACTGATGCGGCACATGATCATGATATTTTAGCATTTTATTGTTGAATCAGATGCTTACGTTATAAGAAAAGGGAGATATTTTCCCGAAATTAAATCGGATATTTTGATTTTGATTTGCTAGATTAGGCCTTGAATTATGGCTTGATGGATCATTTGATAAAAATGATGCATTTTTTACACTAAAAAAAAAGACATTTATGGCGTCTTTTTGATATGTTCCGATAACCAAAATTTAAAATATCTTTCTATTTGTTTTATTACTTTTGACAAAGATAAGATTTTTTAGTAAATTACTCAATTTATATCAATGGAATTCCAAAGATATATATAAAACAATACAATAATTAATCAATTTATTGTTATAACGATTTTAATTCGTCATAACTAATCGATATTTCGAATTCAAAGCTATATATATTTTAGTCCTAAATGGGCTTCTGTAGATATATACTGCATACAGGGTTATTTTCGCCCCGTATTATTTTTGCCCTTTCATATTCGGAAACAAGTTTGTCCCGTTTTAAATTCGCCCAGAAAGATTTTTGTTTAAGATATTATATTGTTTACTTTGAATTCGCCCCGTTTTAAATTCATCCACTTCCGACGAGGGCGAAAGGGGCGAAAAATAAACCTGGGCGAAAATTTCCCTGTATATACAATATACCGACTCCTAAAAAATACGTGAGGTTCTTCAAGTTCAAAATTGGAGAAATTTGAATGTGAACGTAAACATAAATAACATATCATGTATATCTACACTCAATCTCCTACTATTTTTTTTAGCTCAGATATATACCCCATATATAAGATATGATATACATAACATGTTTTGATAAGGTTCCAAGTCGGAAATATCGAAGTCTGCGCTACTTATCAATTATAATGTAGTTGTTATTTTATTATATTCATATGTTCTAATTTTAATATATCGACTCATATTATATATCTAAACTATTTTCAAGGCATTCTGATACTCTCAGTACTTTACGTGATTTTCTCTCTCTCCCCCACCCCTACCCCAATTCCTCTCACCCACACAGGTAAAATATACTAAAGCCTTAAAACAAAATAAAACAATTAAAAATTATTTATCTACTTTTTAAAATAAAATATTGTTTTCATAACTCTATCTGCCATTGTAATGGTTCAATTATATTAATTTGCAGAAAATAAAATAAAACAAGGTCCGTAATAAAAACCAAATACAGGAACACTAATCAGGTAACTTAGTGTCCTCTACAAATATTTATTTATTTATTTATTTATTTATTTATTTATTTATTTATTTATTTATTTATTTATTTATTTTTGCATTAATAGCTGCATTTTGATAAATTTATTCTGTTGTTAAATTGTGTTATAAATTATGATTAATTTGTGTGTAATTTAAACTCTTATGATCAATAAAACCAAAATAAAATTTTAAATTGTTTCAGAAGAAATATTTCTGTACAGTCGAATATGACTGTTAATTGTAAATTATAATTTTTTGTAGAGGACACTAGTATTTGTAAATATTTATCATACTTTTCCCCACTGTTTATCGCGGTACCTTAAATCCTGGAGTCTGCAGTCGGTCGGGTTAGTTCTCCTTCTCTTAGACGGTCGGGTTAGAGCTCCTCCTCTCAGTCCTCTAGGATTGGGGAAAATGTTTATGTCCCTAGTTTCTGTCCTGCTTTAAACATCTAAACTGGACAATAGGAAATCTCGTGGTATATCACGAGAAATGATAACAAGTCGGTACATGTGTACTTAAATCTCCCTATCACTCCGTTATCACTTCATATCATACAGGTCTAACATTATAAACGCACTCAAACGTAACGGGCTACACATCGTGTAAACATGGACGAAGCCGCGGACCCTACGATCAGACTGCGTGTATATATGAACAAGTACAGCTATACAGTTTATACACATACGATAGGGATAAAAGAGATTGCTGGAGATATCCTAATTGTACCTGACTAATCCCTCGGCACTGGTGTCAACTGACCAGTATATAAAGAGAGAGAGAAAGACAGAGAGAGTGAAGAGAGAGAGAAAGACAGAGTGAAGAGAGAGAGGGGAGAGAGAGAGATAGCCGGAGATATCCTGATTGTATGACAAATCCCACATCACTGGTGTCAACTGACCAGATATATAAAGAGAGAGAGAAAGACAGAGAGAGAGAAGAGAGAGGGGAGAGAGAGATATAGAGAAAGCCGAATATATCCTGATCGCAGGACTAATCCCTCAGGCACTGGTGTCAACTGACCAGTATATAAAGAGGAAAGAGACAGACACACAGGGAAAAAAGAAAGAGAGAAGGAGAGAAACGGACAGAGAGAGAGAAGAGATCGACGGGGAGATGAAAGAGAGGGGGGGAGAGTGAAAGAGACAGATAGAAAAAGACACACACAGAAAGAAAGACAGAGAGAGAGAGAAACAGAGGAGAGAGATGAGAGAGAGAATAGACAAAGTTACAGAGCCAGAGAGAGCGAAGACATAGAGAAGAGAGAGAGAAAAACTGAGAGAGAGAGAAAGACAGAGAACAGAGAGAGAGGGGGGAGAGAAAGACAGAGAAAGGGGGGAGAGAGAGAAAGACGGAGAGAACAGAGAGAGGAGGAGAGCAAGAGAGAGAGGGGGATAGAGAGAAAGACAGAGAGAGGGGAGAGAGAGGAAGACAGAGAGAACAGAGAAAAAGACAGAGAAAAGAGATTTTGTGGTTACCCTCTAAATGCTAGTGTTTCATTATGTAGTACATGTATAGCAACTGATTATTTCCAGTGCCAAAATGAACATTCATTAATATTATTTTAAATCCCATTCTCCCCTTAAAATCTGCGTCCTGAAATGCTATACAGTTAGTATCACCGCGTGTCTGGATTAGGGTGATAACTAAATTGGCTGAACCTAAAAAAAAAAACTTACGCTGTTTGTGTGGTTAAATGTCCGTCGTGCTTTACGATAAAATACGGTTTAAGTAATGAAGAAATTTTTGCGGAAATATATAAGAAGCTTTCACACGAAGCTGCAAGATGATGTAACTATGTTAATATTTCACTCCTATACATTGAAAAATGTGAGTACGGTGGCGTTTCCGATTGGCGGATCCAAGTTACTGGCAATTTTAAATGAAAATGACAACAAGGCAATTGTTTATTTATTTTATGTTATGTCACCACTGAATTATTCAATCAAAACTTTATTGAAATGATATGAAAAACAAGTTTTGAATAATAATAAATGGATTAAAAAGGGTTCATTCGTCGATTTGAAATGAAATTATGATAAATCATTGATAACAGTTGTGAATATATTTATATAACAAAAAACTTTTAGTAGGTTTTCCAAATAAATTTATCGATAAATTTTGTATACTACTGAATATTCCTTACTGATAGCATCGTGGCAACGAACCCCAAGTACACTTTAAACACTGGAATTAACTTGCTTACATAAAAGGAGAATTTTAGGAACAATGAATATGGTATTGTTCAAATACATTTAACGCCATGCGCTGTTCTAGAGGGGGGTCGGGGGAACCCTGGAATTTGCAGAGCTACTAAATTTATTTACTATAAACCGAGTAAAAAAGTGATCTTGGACCCCCCCCCCCCCTAGAAAACGCAGACCCTACCCCATACCCCTCAAAAACTTGGATATGGTTATTGGTTAAGTTGGTAATGAAGAAGATTTGGAAGTCAGCGACTACCCCACCCCCACCCCCACCCCCACGAAAAAGAATTTTCATGTTTTGGCGAGATAAGGTTTTTATTTTTGCTTGTCAACAAATTTCTAGGTTGGAATTTTTTTTTTCACTAGAGTGACTGACCCCCCCCCCCCCCCCCCCCCCCCCCCCCCCCCCCCCCCCCCGGAAGAAAATGATGGATCTGTGCCTGAAAGCTGTGATAAAATGTTGTGTTTTAATCAATGCATTTCAGTTTTTTTCTGAATAGTCTTTTGTATTGAATACTCGGTTTACTGGGGGTATTCATAGGAAGTTAAGAGCTAATTTTAACAAAATATTTCTTTAAGATTCAATTAATCAGTAAAATGTGCATATTGGCTACTTTTCTTTTTGCCGGATAAAATAAATAAGAGCACCCGAAGTACAATATCTATAATACACACAAGCACCTGACGTTGCTTATTTTTCTTTAAATAAAGAAAAATATACCGATACTTTATTATTAGGTATGGGTAATATGACTATACTTTTATTATTAAAAAAATAATAAGTAAAGTCAAGTGCCTGTGAATTATATTGTTAGAATTCTTCTATCGGTAGCTATATACGTGTGTATTCAGGAATATACTTTGCCTAAATATTCTGTGTTTCATCTTGTATTAAAGAAAAGATAAACAGAACAAGAAAATCTATATCTTAAAGCAGCTAATGCCTAGGTCACATTTCCCGGCCGGTAGCCGTAGACCGGTGGTAATCGGTAGTAATCCGTGGTGTTAACGATGCCCCAACATCGGTCCACATCGGCCCAGTAGTCCTTAAAGTATCAGTCACATTATCCAGCGATGTGCATACGATGGGCAACCAATGAGTTTTATGAGAAAAATGGCGTGGTTGCCGGCCGGACTCATAAAGGTTCAGCGATGCATTGCTAAGCATAAAACGATGTTCCAGGATAATCGGCCGATGTATATTACATCGCTCATACATTGGTGAACATCGTTCGTACATCGGTCGACTACGGGCCAATGTTTGGTCGAACATCGACCGATGATCGGTCGTTATCTGTTGAACACCACTCAACCCCCAATGACCTCAGATTCAACGGATATTGGACGATGCTCGGCCATACATCGGCCGATCCTTGAAAGATGTGTTAATGATGGGTTATCGATGAGGAGCGATGTGAGGCATCGTTGGAGACATCGCTGAATTTTAACTACGAATTATTTCCTACCGATGACCCCACCGATTCGCAAAAAGGATTCAGTCACCGTCCGATCACTAGTGGTGCCCGGCCGGCAACCACGCCAATTTCATCAAAAAAACGCATCGGTTTCTCATCGTATATCCCATCGTTGGATAATGTGACTTATACTTAAGGAAATCTGCTCCCCTGCAAAGCATTATTAAAGAAAAAGGTCTAAAACGTATAAATCTTGATTATGAAGTCGTTGTGTGCAAAAATTTTATTTCATGCACCTAAAATTAATTAATGGTTCAATGACCCTTAAAGTATTAATATCAGCATTGTAAAAAGATAACAATTTTTACCTTATCAAGGAATTAAAAAAATAATAAAAATAATTTTTGAGAAATCGAATTTTCCGCAATCTGGCCTTAGAAAAAAAAAGTTCATAATATGACAAAAAATTAAATGTGATGTCTTGAATGCAGTGCATTCACTTCTTTTTGTTTCCAGAGAGAGAGAGAGAACAAGAGAGAGAGAGAGAGAGAGAGAGAGAGAGAGAGAGAGAGAGAGAGAGAGAGAGAGAGAGAAATTGTTATTCTACACTATATTTATATGTTAACACAGTGGTTAATATAAACGATATACATATATAAGACCATTCCGTCCGTACACGCCTGTTTCTGACATAAAACATAAACACGCACTAACAGATTGTGTCACCGCCTACACATTGAATAAACCATTTTCTGCGTGTTTGTAAAATGTGCTACGAGTTTTTAATATATATATATATATATATATATATATATATATATATATATATATATATATATATATATATATATATATATATATATATATATATATATATATAAAATACTGAGTGAATTATAGTAAATAATTTATTACCTTACAAGGAACAAATAGAATGTTAACAATCACGTGATCACAACGACCCTAAGAAAATAAATAGAATCAACAGAAAGATGTCGTACAAGGTTCATGTCATTTTCTCTCAATCTCACCCCACTCACTAATACGTCCATATTAAACCATTCACGTATGTCACGGGTCACGTGACCACAGTAGTGACCCCATGATGACCCACGTCCAGAGCGTCACGGTGTCCAGTCTGATCGTCACGCTGTTATTTCCTCCCTGTTCGCTGGCCACTGGATTCGTGTCCGGTGATGGACCCTTTTGGTCAGATTTCTCCGGACACCTGTTTGATGCCGAGTTGATGGGAGGGAACATGTCTGTCTTCACGACCTTGCTGATTAGTTTCCACGACTCTGAAGAATCGTTAAAGGCCGAGGATTGAAGATCGTTGATTTCGTGGAACTCGTAAACCCCCGACCTTTTAGTTTCCCGGAGACCAAGGATCATGACGGCGCCGGTTTTCTCGAAGTTTGAGGTGACCTTGACCCAGTAGACGTAGGTCCCTGAGCAGGCGGATCGCGGACTGACGCCCTCTATCGTGATGTTCTCCAGGATTGTCGTGTTGCCTTTGACGATACAGAACACACGGAATGTGGCGTCAATGAGGGGGTCCCCCTGGACGAAATCAATCACCTCCCCGTACACAATGACCTGGAGCCGCGACACCAAATCCTCGGGGGTCACTTCATTGTATTTATCGTCCACTAGACAACCGCTGACCACGGACAGACAAACAAACAAACACACAAACCAGACCACCGCGCGGACCTCCATAATAACACTGCTGCTCTCTCGTGTAGAATCCCTGGAATGCAGACAATTCACTATTGTATACGATGCCCCGCTTTTGATATAATATCCACTGAACAAGTCATTGTTTCATTTCAGTCAGAAAATTTCCCTACGATTTTCTATGAATGTTTTATTCAAGTACGTCTAGAGTAGGGAATAAAATGTTATTTAAGCGTCGTATTCCGAGGGCTCTGTATAAGAATGTAAAGATACACAAGAGTGGACATTCAATATTTCTTTTTACTCAGAAAACTTTCTGTATTTTTCCTGTGAATACAGCTTTAAGTAGGGAGTAACTTAAGATTCATTCTTGTTACAGACTTCGTGTTCCGGGACAAATTAATCTTTGATTGCCCCAGGAATGCGGTCATTTTAAGAGTTGGTATTAGAAGGTAAGAATTCGGTCCACTCCAAGAAATCCCTGACTAGAGGTTTCTGCAGATTCTTTGAAGTAATTACTCTTTATTACAAAAACACGATAATTCAATGGTAGATATATATTAGGCTGTACTTCATTCAGTAGTATATTTGCAAGTAATATACCACGGTATCGTGTTAATGCAATATCAATCGCAGGATTTTAGGCCCACCCATCCCGGTGAATTCAAAAGTTACAATAAAATTATTGCTTGGACAACAAACAAGCATTTTTAATCTACATCTACATGTATCTGCAGAACTGTAGCTTGCTGGTCTGAAAAAAATCGGATGGACAAAACCTCCGGTCTGTCCGATAAAAACAAATCGGAGAGCTACAGTTCTGCAGGGAAGTTGAAGGTTATTCGTGAACCCTCGGGAGCAACAGCGGGAATGGACAGGGGCAGTAAATCATGGAGTTGTACCAGAAACACTAAATCGTTTCTTAATAATTCAGGATATTCCTGTGGTCTTGGTATCAGTAGAACTTAAATTCAATGGTGGAAAAATCTCTCCAGGCTTCCATACAAATGAAATGCCAAAACCGTGGAGGTTAACGCCCGCGTAATAATGGTGAGGGGAGTGATGAGCTGTCCAGACTCAGGTCTGACAGATGAATTCCCGCTAGAAGTTAAACATCACAGCCTGACGAGAGCTGCGCCAGAGATACTGAATTAACATAGACGCATGCCTTCTGTCTGCGTTAGGGATACACTAATTTAAAAGTTTGCAAAATTCTTATACTCTTTCGTATTCTGTAAACCTTAGCTTCGAACAAGTAGATATTAACTATACTCAAAATTTTTGCCTGTTTGACTGGCAAATTAATTATTACCGCTGTTCATATTATATCGTAAACCTTGTGTACAATCTTATTAGTCACTGCATGGGCGTCGGAAGAAAATTGAAAGGGGGCTAATTAAAAATGGGAGTTTAACCAACTTTCCGAAAACTTAAATGCCTATATTAAGTCTATCATTGCAATAAGAGGGGAGGGGGGGCTAAATGCTACCAGCCACCCAGGGTTCCGACGCCTACAGTAGTTCATTATCTGAAATCGTTCGACTAACAATCAAAGAACGATAATCGTGATAATATCACGGACGCAAGCATTTGATTAAATTAATATGATTGGAGCCACAGAATAAAAAAATAAATAAACTGAAGTTTAAGCATTGAAAGGCCGATATTTCCTTTAAATTATTTAATATTTTTGGGGGCATTTTATCATAGAAAATTTAAAGAAAAGGTTTTATTTGCAAATAAAGTGCTTTACGGTGTAACATTTGCGGTTAATAAAAAGTTTTATGAATGTTTTATAAATTATGTCAAGAAATTCTAAATAGACATTCAAAATAATTTTGAATATTTTTTTTTTATGAATATAAAACACATTATTTGTGACTAAAGTAAAAATAACTGTTTGAATAAGAGTGTTAAACATGTTATGGGTTCAGACCTTTTATCGGAACTCAGTAGACAGTTAATATTTATACACAGATTCGACCAATCGAAGCGATCAGTCTGACCTTGTCTTTATTAATTGGAAGCGGCAGAATCCCTGATCAGTAACGCGGGACTTTCCATGCTCTGTCTCAGTACATCTGTACCCTGAGAGTGTGACGATGAAGGTTTAAAAGTCAGGAGAAAATCAATGATCCGTGAAGACGACATGTAAACAGTGGTGGCGTGTCTCTCTACCCGTGCTGTGACGGTGGTCCGCTATTGAAGAATGCCTGAGGGAGATGAGACCCCCCATCCTTATTTCCCCCGCTCCCTGAGTCTCCTGGGATACAAACCTAACCGTGTCCCCCTAACGGAACTCCTAGGATTGTTCTTTGGCTTGGTCGCCCTGGCGCTTATCGGCACGTGGATTTTAGCAGGACGTTATAAGAAAGGAGGCGCGGATCGCGTGATAATATGCTGGTTTGTGGCGTGTGGTTTTATTCACTGTGTATTAGAGGGATACTTCGCGGTAAATCACAAAACACTTGTGGGAGGCGGATCCTATCTGGCAGAAATGTGTAAGCTGTTGTGTATTGTTAGCGTTCTCATCTCTCTCTCATTCATCTCTCTCTCTGCTCTTTCTTTTTAATCTCTCTCTCTCTCTTATCGTTAACAACTTTCTTTATCTTCCTATTTCTTTCTTTGTATCATAAAAAGGTAATTGTAATAATTATATATGCATGTTAATATACAGTGAGCAAATGCATACCACTTAAAATACTTTGGATGCCTTAAAATGGTTTAAATGAGAATGAACGTTATGTCAAAAGTATAAAGAGGATACTTGATATTAAACTGATTACATATAAAACAGCGGAACTATTACTAAAATAATTTGTAAACAGTTTTTAAGTGTTACACATGTATAATGTTCAGAGAGAAGGGATAACACAGTGCGTATACTTCATAATTATAATTATACATGTAGCATAACTCCGTTTGTAGTATAAACATGTATACTGTGGCGGATCTAATGTTACGGGGTCCCCCCATAAAATGTTAATCCGACAATCGTTCATAAAGGCAGAATGAGAAGTCAGGTTTTGAGGTGCGTGGTTTCTGTATCTCTTACAATACACATGTTTATATTATATGTAAATTGTCAGTTAGGTTAAAGGGGCATACACAGTTTCAGCTAAATAAAAATCCATATCTTTATGACTACAAATCATGTAATAAGTATTTCTAATATACATCAAAAATTTGAATTCAGTTTTTCGAGATATACAAGACTGATTTAGAGCTTCAAACCTTTGTTATGTAAACAAAGGAGTTAATTATAAACGATTAGATAGTTTCTAGTGATTTGACCAATTTCGTTTTGTTGTAAATGTGATATTTTATATATGTAAACAAAAACAAGGCACAAGCCTTGTTAACATTATGAAGGATTTTAAGTTCTGTATCTCCTTTGTAAACCGCCCCGTGGGGATCCGGGTTAGAATAGGTCCTCAGTACCCCCTTGCTTGTCGTAAAAGGCGAATAAATGGGGCGGTCCTTCGGATGAGACCGTATAAACCGAGGCCCCGTGTCACAGCAGGTGTGGCACGATAAAGATCCCTCCCTGCTCAAAGGCCGTAATTGCCGAGCATAGGCCTAAATTTGCAACCCTTCACCGGCAATGGTGACATCTCCATATCAGTGAAATGTTCTGGAGAGGGACGTTAAACAGTATACAATCAATCAATCAATCCTTTGTAAACCAACAAATGATGTTCATATTTTTGCTGATAATTAGAAGTACCTTAGAAAGGAATTGCAGACATTAAAATTGTTTTTTTTAATTCAGTTGAAACAAGAAATTCAATGAGAAATGAAGAAAGTTTGTAAATGTATCTTGATTTAATCTCTCTCCCGCTATAATAATTTGTTTTTTTTTTTAGGGAAAGAATACGCCCATGGTGACAGTCGATACCTAACGTAAGTTATAAATAGAATCTAGAAGTTACAGTCCGGACCCCCCCCCCCCCACACACACACACACACTCCTCTCCTTTTCTGATAGCATCTCGGGTGCTGCTCTAATGTTTGATGAAGTAAGACGAATTGTTTGAGTAAGAAATTATCTAGAACAGGGTGTTGATAAATTTTCAAACAATTCTTATTTAGTATTATTTTATTTTGACTAAGCTATACGTAAATCTTATATTGACTAAGCTATACGTAAAACTTATACATGTATTGACTACGCTATACAAGTTAGATGTAGATCAGGTAAGGTGTACCCTATGTCATTTTGTTTTCCTTAGATCTGTGTAGTTTAGTGTTAATACAGGATGTTAGAATAAAGTCGTTATTTCAATGTTAATTACAATGTTTTAGGAATAAATACAAGCGTAAATTTAGGATTGTATTCACTGAATATATTAATTACTTCATGGATTATATGCGTCGTAAAGAAAAAAATTACTGTATTTATGAGACAAATATGTCAATAATTTTCATGATCTGCCTCCTTTTAATTTAATGTGTATTTTTTTTCTGTTTATATTGAAATACATGTATGAAAAAATAAATCATTTGACTTCGAAGTTGATCATTAACACACATCTTATGTATTCATCAGTAAAAATGACGCTGCTCTGGTATTATTTTCAGGTCAGACTCCTTTGTTGTTTGCATGGAGACCATTACGGCGCTGGTTGACGGGCCGCTGAGTTTCGCGGCGGCCATTGCGCATCTTACCGGAAGTCGTCACAGATATCCGCTTCAGTTAATTGTCTCCCTTTGTCAGCTGTACGGCGACACACTGTATATGTGTATAGAAGCCAAGGACGGTTTTATCCACGGGGAATTCGGACATCCTCTACATTTTTGGTTTTATTTTGTGTTTCTGAACTTATTTTGGATTTTTGTACCTTTAATTCTTATAGTGCAGGCGTATATAGCACTGACAGTAGGGACAAGTAGGGAATCGACGAGAGGAAAGAAACAGAAATAAACTGTACCCGGAGGTGTACAAATGTAAATTGTAATGTTTTAATTCTTGTTATTTACAATAAACTATCGGTTTTAAACGTCTTCTCTTTTAAAGAAGGACTGAATATACCGATACTGGTCATCGATTTCTTATCAGGAGTCTGTTGAGTAAATTATAGTATATGTACTTCTAGACATTAGAACAGAATTTATCTTCCAGATATCGGTGTAATCCTAGGTACAACATCCAAACTGTTGGATTAAAGAACAAAAGGTTATATATATATAGGTACATGTACCGCGGTAGGACATTCTCTATTGAGAACTATCACGACATGCTTTCTTATAAACGACTGGCATTTGTTCACAAGAGAAACAACAAAAAAAAAAAAACAAACAAACAAACAAACAAACAAAACAAAACAGTCAGTTAACATGTGATTCTATTAGGAATCTTACTTTGATGACATTTATTGTCTTTTTCCACTAAGAATTTTCCCGCGAACAATTTTTAAAAGGGGGATAAATCCATAACACATTACAGATATACATTACCAGTAACTAATCAATGTTTGGTCACTTCTTGCAATGTATCATGTGTGATTTCAAGAAACATGTTTTTCTTTGATTTGGTTAAAGAATGGAGGCGTACAAGGCGGGGGGAATCCCCCGCTCTGAAAAAGACATTTCTCAATTCAAAAAGTAGTATTTTTTCAAAATTTTATGGTTTATATCATCTTTTACATATCAAATTCTATATTTCATTGTTTTAACAATTTATGAATAATTTATTTTTACTCATGTTTTAAGACATTTGAAAAAAAAAAGAGAGAAAACTCTCTCCATAGCGTAGGTAGGCTTGGTCCAAGACCAACCGTTTTAACCACTACGCTACGAAGTATATGCACTATTGAGATCTTTCAGTGTGATTTAAATGGACGGATTTGTTGAAGCGAAATTTTTTTCAGAAAAGTTCGATTTTCATATAGAATGGGTTCAGATTCCATTTTTTTGACAAATGAAACGGATTTCACATTTACATTTCCATCATTTAAGCGTTCACGAAGAATGGAGACTTGACCCATTCATGTTCAAAATTCGTTTTTTATAGCTCTATTAAACCCATTTTCCACTAAATATCCTTAACTGTCAACTTTGAAATAAAGATTATCAAATGATAAGTCGTTCAGTAAAATAAAATAATAAAATATTTTGAAGATGACATTATACCGAGAACATGATTTTAGAAAAAAAAACTTTTTTGTGAATTTTGAAAATTGAGAAACATTTTGTCTCAGAGCGGGGGATTGTACACGCCTTATACGCCCTCTTTCTTTATGAGATGAATAATATTTAACAAATTTTTGTTCATTTTAGCACGTGCACTAATCCTTTTTCTGATAAAAAAAATATTTGCTTAATCCGTGACTTCAGTACAATTAAGTTCAAATATTTAAAAAAAAAAACATAATCACCCCCCCCCCCAAAAAAAAAGAAAAAAAAAACACAAGCAAACGAACAATTTAGTTCAAGAATTTTAACTCTGTCTGTGGCTATAGTGTTTGTCCAATCAAGAATATTTACATTCAGTGTAATATTCCTTATGACACTATGACGCTAACGCGCGGTATTCAATTTGTAGGCACGGCCAGGTGTGTTATAGGACCGAAGACATCCAAAAATATGAATTCAATGCTTAAATAAATACGCCGATACACATCATTTGGGGAAAACAAATGTAACATCGACAGAATTTAGGCAAATCAGTATTATAAAAAAAAATTGTCTTTTATGCCTGGCATGTGTTAAATAGCAGTGAGTATTACTGGGTACAGAAATATTTGCAGAATAAAATTTTCTTTCTTTAAATTATTTTTGAGTTCAGAAATTCCATTATGTCCCTTCTGTTATATTTATTGATGTTTCCTATTCTTTTATACAAAGTTCTTGTTTCAATGTCAGAAGGTTAATATTTGATAAAAATGACCTTGACACCCCTCTACTTTCTGTGATCCTATGATTTTTTATGCTTTGTTAATTTACACCTTGACACCCCTCTACTTTCTGTGATCCTATGATTTTGTATGCTTTGTTAATTTACACCTTGACACCCCTCTACTTTCTGTGATCCTATGATTTTGTATGCTTTGTTAATTTACACAGCTCTTTATTATGTTCCCCAAACGAAGTTGGGGAACATATTGTTTTTACTCTGTTTCTTATTATTATTATTATTATTTTTCTTCTCGGGAAAATTTTGTCCGCGAATGATCTTGTAAACTACACATCCGATTTAGGTGAAATGTTTTTAGGGTCAGTAGAAATGTTATGTAGATTTGCGGAATCAAGGTCATTTTGCGCGCACGTGCAAAACTTTAAATGACCAATATATAATGGATAAAACCGTAACTTTTCTATTTTTTGACAAAATGTTTTGAAACTCATAATGTAAGGATATATTAGTAGTATGCACAAGATGACATGGTCAAAATAGCAAGATCGCACGCGCATGCACGTGCGCTTTGCTCTGATTGGCTGAAACTAAAGTCTCAATATCTTTCTTTTTTTTTGATAAAATCATTTGAAATTTTTAACATAGTCATACATTAGGGAGATCGACAGCCTGTAATTTAAGAATTATCATGAAAGCATGTGCATGCACGTGTGCTTGCAAGAGCTTGCACGTGCAACATGAGAAATGTCCAACATAATTGATACAGACGTAGCTATTTAAATTATTGATGAAATGCTTTGAAACTCATATTATAGGTATATATTAGAAGCATAGACAAGACGACATGGTCAAAAAAGCAAGATTTCACGCGCATGCACGTGCGCTTTGCTCTGATTGGCTGAAAAGTCTCAATATCTTTCTTGTTTTTTGACGAAATCCTTTGAAATTTTAAACATAGGCATGTATTAGGATATCCTACAATAAGATATATAGCAATTGTCATGAAAACGCGTGCATGCACATGCACTGCAATCTGATTGGCTTATGCTTTAAATAGCTATAACTCCCTTGGTTTTAAACCAAACGGGGTGGGATTTAGAACATAGATAGATGTAATGGACTTCTACAAGAAGGTATGGTCACCATGTTCATGTATGCACGTGCGTGCACGTGAAATAGGTAAAATAAAAAAAAACACTTGTATGAGCGATTTTTTTTATACTTTAATATTTAGCACATTAAATATATAGATTGTGTAGACAATGATATGGTCATTACGCACATGCATTCACATGCGCAAGTGTGCACTGATGAAATTTGAATGAACATGGTACGCTTCTGGGTAAACGTTGTTAAATTATAAAATGCATAGAGTTTGTCTTATCTAATTACGCTTACAGGAAATATGCCTATAAGAGGGAGTTGGGGAGCGTTTGGGGAACATCTGTAACGGTCCCCGTTACAATAAGCACTAGTTGTAATTGATTCCTTCCTTCCCTCCTGAAGTAACACTGCTGTATGTATTAATATTAATTGGCAGATCAACAGATTAAATTAGAACACTAAATAATACGGAATAAACAGGCCCTTAAATTTCTGTCAAAAGCATATATAATTATTATAGCTGTAGAACTGTATATAACTCTCCTACAAAACTGTATATAGCTCTCCAAAAAAGATATATTGGCAAACCGTTGTCGCATAACATTTGGTCCGCCTCGTTTAAAGGTCCGGCCGGACCAAATACGATAACATATCAGGTCCGCCTGTCTCTGTTGGAAAAGGTCCGCCCTTGGACTTTTATACAAATTGTATGCATGTGGTTCATTCGACATTAATTGAAAAACATATATTTTTGGGAGAGCTACAGATCTGCTTCTATGATTATCATTGCTTTATAAAGTATCAATTTTTTTCACCGAATGGCTAAAAATTAAAGATTAAACAAACTAAATAGCTAAATAAAGGAATCAATAAACAAATAGATATATGATAAACGATTTTTTTCGGACAATTTTTTTTTTTAAATATTAGTTTTAAAGAAATTGTAAACTAGCTAGTGCTACGATGCTCAAAATTCTAACTCTACAACCGTCCTTTCATTCTCTACATTGTCACATGAAATCCCATTATCGTGAAACGTTGAACGAAAATTAAAATATATTCGGTTAACCTTTTTTTTTTTTTTTAAATTTTACTTCAGTAATATAGACAGACGTCAGTTGATATTTCCCGGATTTTTGTTTAAAATTTTATCACACGTTCTCAAAAGGACATTTGAAATAACTCTAAAAAAAACTGGTTTAAATAACTTTGAATAAAATTTTGTCTTTGCAGAATATTTTCTTCAGAACAGTGTTCAATAGCTTTGTTGAGAGGTATATATATGTTAAGCATCAAACAAACAAAATAATTTATTTTCCTGCACGTGGCCTTTAATTGAGAGGAATTATTTAACAATGTACTAGAATGTTTTAGTAAATAGAGAATAAAATTCAGTATTGGTGTTGGATATTTTACGAGAATAGTCAGTTACGTTAGAGGTTTGACATAAATATTAGATAACGAACTAGAACCATAAAGTGGTATTAATACTAAATATTAAAATTACATGTATTAAGTCTGTCTGACATGGAATTATAAATCTATCAATCTTGATTTATTTTATATTTTAACTCTATTATGTTTATTGGATAAAGTTGTTTTAAATATCATTAGATTTGTAGGTTTTTAAGGTTTTTCCCCTTTTACATTTCTCGGAGATCGTCAGAGTTTTTGAGATATGACGGATTAAAAGTTACTTCTTTACTGAAACTGAGAACCCTGTATATCTGTCTCTTGTTTCCTGTAAAATGATGGAAATGCTTGTTTGATGAAGAGATAATATTTTTATCCTGAGTCAGCAGCGAATACCTGTATCTTTAGCGCACCTGCAGTTGTTCACTTCAAACACGCATTATAGTTCACTTATATTTTAATATCATACATTGGACTCATAGTAGATTTATGTTTTATGTAATAATTTCATTTACTCCCAAAAATTTCAGTTTATTTATAAAAAATAATAAATAAAAAATTAAAATTGATTACCTAATAGTCAAACCACACCTGATTAAAAACACAATAATGATTAATGCCGTGACGTCATATTTTGTCCCGGGGCTGTGTTTCTTTATAGCTGCCTGTCAACAACCTTACAGCGTTTCCCTGTCACCAGCCTGTGTACACACTCTCTCAGTCCCACACTTTATTAACGCTGTTTTCCTTCGGATTTTATTTTGAATCAGAGATGGAGTAGCTAACTTATATTTTTCCATTGAAGTAGCATCCGTTTACAGTTTTTTTTCCCTTTGACAAGATGGATTTTGTGTTTTTAGGATTGATATTTTGTGTAATTTTGCCGGTAAGTTGAGAACTTTAGACATGTTTATGTATTGTCTGTTTGTGCTTGTCAAAAGCTCATGGAAAACTTCAAGGCGATTTACTGTGACAGTCTTATTTTATATTCAGTTTGTTTCCGTTTGTGCAATCAATAATGAATTCAGGGTTTAGAATTCAGAGGAAAACATAATGAAGGCATGAATTTACTTTATGTGGCTTTGATAAACAACAGACTGTATTAGCAGGTAAAACAGAGTATATAAGAGATAACTCAGAGGTGATTCTGTTTTTTCCGTAATTAAAGTGGGTGTTCGACAGTAGGGCTGACTTTGTCCTTTACATTTAACCTTACTTAAATATGCAATTCACAGATTTAACTACGACATTTACCACACTGTGTCTTCGGTTATATCTTAAGTTGCACGCTTCAGATAAACCTCACATTTTTATTGATAATGACGAATAGCTGCTATACAGATTCATAAGCACATGATTTTGTTTAATTAGCATAAGATGTAAAAGTTTCCAGAAGTAACTGTCATAAGATGTTTGGAAATTACCTGAGGTCGCGATCGTAACACTTCTGTCGTTATCCTGTCATTATAACACAAAGAATTATCGTAACGCCTCTGTCTTTATCCCGTCATTTTTCAATAACATATTACTGTTAGACCTCTGTAGTTTGTTAATCCAGAAAATTTACTGCATTTTATTTTGCAATCTTCTGTTCCGTGACACGAATATGTAAATCAAGCGAAAAGAAGATTTTCCCTTGAAGTATTTTATGTACGTCCTTTTATTCTAATTATGATTTTTAAAAAAAAAAACCCATTGAAATTATGTTACTTCTTGGATGACACGAACCATTTTGTTATTCATTTATACATTTTTCTGGTTTAGACTTGACTTATCTGACAGAGCCGTTTTGTCGTCTGTCAGGTTGTCTGTGGTCTAACGACTTAATGTTTGTGAAGCGTTCCTTCATCCCCGGTCTGTGTTTGTTTACAATATTCTCCAATGTAATCCACGTTTACAGATATACAAGTATCTGTGTGTTTGTTTGTTATAATATACATGACTGAATTGTATGACTATAGTTCTTAAATTAATTTTTGTTTTAATGACATGAACAGTAAAGTAGCATGTAGGTTTGTATTGTAGGTTTGTATCGTATAGGTTTGTATAAGATCAGTGGTAAAGATAGCCGTTTTATTAGTGTATGATGTTCTGCTAGTCCCCCCCCCCCCCAAAAAAAAAAAGAAAAAAGAAAACAAAAAAAAAACACAACAAAAAACAAAGTCTGATTAATGAGAACAGGAATCAAACGTTAAACAGGAGGGGGAAAGGAATTCACATTAAAATACTTGATTGATCATTTTATCAACTTTCATTGTATCATCTATGATAGATTGAGCATCAGGTATTTATTTCTATGTTCTGTGAAAGAAACAAAGAGTAATTACATTTTTGTGAAGTATTGTATCGTGTTTTCTCAAATAAGTTATATTTTCATTTTTTAAAGAAGAAGTTGAACAGGTTTGCCATACAGAGCTAGAGCTAATAAATACGTAGTACTGCTCATGTCTAGGTTGTAAACATTAATAAAAAGTAACGACATTGAAATATGTATTATAATTAATCATGTACTTTTCAATAATTTATGAATGATCATTTGAGATAGACTCTAAAATAAAAATAAGTGATGAAGTACGTATTCTGAACGTAATGCAGTTGTAGAAAAAGTTCATAAAAAGGTACTCAATCGTTAAACATCCATTAACATTCTCAACAAATGGTTGACACTAAACGTTCTTGTAGACTGATTAAAAACATACAATTTGTGTCCAAATGTGACACTTAATATACATAATGCAGCTTGATTGTATTGTCAGTGTAGTAAGGGAATTACGGTGGCATTCAGGTTCTTTATGTTGTCCAACACGACACGCATGTGTACAGTGTGTATAGCTTATCTTGATCTAAAACAGACAATTTATTGGAAACATGCAGTTTTAACATGTGTCTTTTATTATTTTTTTTAAATCTGAAGTTGAACATGATTGCATGCCAAATTATTGCAGCCCGGAGGACCGGACTACTCTATATATATATAAGTTTAAGTGTTGGTATATGGGAATTGAGGTGGGAGAAGTTATTCAGAATTAAAGGTTTTCTAAACATTAAATAAATTGTTAATCAGAATGCTCGTTCCCTTTATAAATTACGAGATACACAACATATTTACTTCCACAACATGAATCCGTAAAAATATATATTTTTTTCACATTTAGTACGTAGAGTTACTCATCATTTACTATAAAAAAAAAGAAACACGACAGGTCCCTATTTTAGAACATCGAATTTTACTTATGCACAAAAAACGTATTGTAATCAGTTAGAGTTTTAAATTCTTAAAGTGAAATACATCTTTGAAAATAGGTGATGCATGTGTCTGGTTCCAATTTATATTTTATGCAGCCAACATTTACTTGAGGAATTGAAACAATTTTAAAGGGAATCGTTTTTGTTCGATTTTCATCCGATTATACAAGTTTTCAAAATATTCACTACTATCATCTTCATCATTGAGACGCATGCCTCTTTCACACACATGGTTTGATGATCAAGATTCATTTTCATTGTTTACTTTATTTATTTCCCGGTCGAAAATTGATGGTTACATAAACGTTTTTTGTCATTTTTGACTTAGGTTTGACAGTTCATATAGGAACATATCAGTAGAAATACATTGAGCCCGGTAAGGGTTCTATTAGATGATAGAATGATAAGGAGATAACGAACAGTAGAAATCTCTCTAGACAAACTGAAAACCGGAGATTAAGTACTAGTATGCATTTGCCTTCCTTATGTATATTCTCCAGAATAAGTTCAGTGACCACAGATTCCATGTTTCCGCAGTGGGTCAGTGGAGACCACGAGGAATCAGACTGGTTTTATTGCTGATGGTCTAGGTATCACTATCAATCATAAGCTCCACTGTATTATAAAAACAAGCGGTTTCTTCCCGCGACGTCTCGAAGCAGAAAGCAGGCATAAAGTGACGGGTCCTTAAATACGGGCTGTTCCTTCCCTAACCTAGGTCTTCACTTCTTAATGATGTTAGAGATAAAACATTGGGTCTATTCCTCACTCTAACCTAGACCTTCACTTCTTAATGATGTTAAAGATAAAGCATTGAGGCTGTTCCTCCCCGTAACCTAGGCCTTCACTTCTTAGTGATGTTAGAGATAAAACATTGGGTCTGTTCTTCCCCCTAACCTAGGCCTTCACTTCTTAATGATGTTAGAGATAAAATACTGGGACTGTTCTCCTCCTAACCTAGACCTTCACTTCTTAATGATGTTAGAGATAAAACATTGTCTCTGTTCCTCACACTAACCTAGACCTTCACTTCTTAATGATGTTAGAGATAAAACATTGAGGCTGGTCCTCCCCCTAACCTAGACCTTCACTTCTTAATGATGTTAGAGATAAAACATTGAGGCTGTTTCTCACATTAACCTAGGCCTTCACTTCTTAATGATGTTAGAGATAAAACATTGGGTCTGTTTCTCACATTAACCTATACCTTCACTTCTTAATGATGTTAGAGATAAAACATTGGGGCTGTTCCTCCCCCTAACCTAGGCCTTCACCTCTTAATGATGTTAAAGATAAAACATTGGGTCTGTCCCTCACCCTCACCTAAGCCTTCACTTCTTAATGATGTTAGAGATAAAACATTGGGACTGTTCCTCACCCTAACCTAGGCCTTCACCTCTTAATGATGTTAGAGATAAAACATTGGGACTGTTTCTCACATTAACCTAGGCCTTCACTTCTTAATGATGTTAGAGATAAAACATTGGGACTGTTCCTCACCCTAACCTAGGCCTTCACTTCTTAATGATGTTAGAGATAAAACATTGAGGCTGGTCCTCCCCCTAACCTAGACCTTCACTTCTTAATGATGTTAGAGATAAAACATTGGGTCTGTTCCTCACCCTAACCTAGACCTTCACTTCTTAATGATGTTAGAGATAAAACATTGGGTCTGTTCCTCACATTAACCTAGACCTTCACTTCTTAATGATGTTAGAGATAAAACATTGGGTCTGTTCCTCACATTAACCTAGGTCTTCACTTCTTAATGATGTTAGAGATAAAACATTGGGACTGTTTCTCACATTAACCTAGACCTTCACTTCTTAATGATGTTAGAGATAAAACATTGGGTCTGTTCCTCCCCTAACCTAGGCCTTCACTTCTTAATGATGTTAGAGATAAAACATTGGGACTGTTTCTCACATTAACCTAGGCCTTCACTTCTTAATGATGTTAGAGATAAAACATTGGGACTGTTTCTCACATTAACCTAGACCTTCACTTCTTAATGATGTTAGAGATAAAACATTGGGTCTGTTCCTCACCCTAACCTAGACCTTCACTTCTTAATGATGTTAGAGATAAAACATTGGGACTGTTTCTCACATTAACCTAGGCCTTCACTTCTTAATGATGTTAGAGATAAAACATTGGGACTGTTTCTCACATTAACCTAGGCCTTCACTTCTTAATGATGTTAGAGATAAAACATTGGGACTGTTCCTCACCCTAACCTAGGCCTTCACCTCTTAATGATGTTAAAGATAAAACATTGGGACTGTTCCTCACCCTAACCTAAGCCTTCACTTCTTAATGATGTTAAAGATAAAACATTGGGTCTGTTCCTAACCCTTACCTAGGTCTTCACTTCTTAATGATGTTAGAGATAAAACATTGGGGCTGTTTGATTTTTCTGCGTATCATGTATCAATGCAGTTCTATTATTTCTTGATAAAAAAAAAACATAACCCCCAGTTTGAAGATTCATGTATCATTATTTTTACATATAGTTTATTCTGAAGTTATAAAATTCTATATAACAGTAACCTAAGAATAAGTGTGGAATATACCTGATACAAATCGCGGTAAACTCTGCCAACAAGAATATTGAGTGCCCTGTAACAGCATGTTCGTAATCGGTAGCATGACTCGGTTTATAAATTGATCTTAGAACGTGCTTGTGTGCCTCGAATGAAATTGGAGACATATAAAGACCGGTGAATAATGAAATGATTACACTGTGTCCACAATAATCCACAATAATTTCACACTTCATTCTATCAACATTCTATCAACAGTCTATCAACATTGTTTCAACAGCTTATCAACATTCTATTAACAGTCTATCAGCATTCTATAAACAGTTTATCAACATTCCTCGTTTCATTCAACCAAGTAGATAACAAATTTAATGATTGTAACAACGATTTCAAAAAACCAGATTAAAAACACTTTATTCTTACATGTTTTTATGCTGAGTAAATGTCCATGAAAATATTACCCAACTTGCATGCATCTTGCTGAACACTTTGTAAATACCTTAAAATACTCCAAGTCTAATTCATATATTTGTCAAGTAGCTAGACTGATTCATTTTTTTAAAAAAGAAAGATTTACTTTATATTATACAGAACAGCATTTTGCTTTCATTAAAAAAAATATTAACAGCTTAAAACAATTCTGTGATATATACAGACTTGCCGCGAAAACCACAGAATTATTTTACACACCGTCTGTCCCTGACAACGTCGTATAAACAGACTGAACAAATAGCGCCTCTGTACATCATAGTGCTTAAACTTCACCGTATACTTAACATTTATACCCTGACGGACCCTTACAGAAAAGTAAAACTTGATTATATTCCACGTAGTGTCTACCTTCATTGTACAAGTAAAACATTTATACCCTGAAAGACCCTTGCAGAAAAGTAAAACTTAATTTTATAACAACGAAAGCGTGAAGACACGTGTATTGTGAATGTGAAAAACCATATATATCATCATATATATGATAACATTGATGTAACCATCAATTGTCGACCAGGAAATAAATAAAGAAAACAATGGAATTGAGTCTTGATCATCAAACAACTTCGATATGTGTGAAAAAGGCATGCGTCTTAAAAATGAGGACTACAGTCAAGAATATTTTGAAACCTTTTAGTCGGATATAAATTGAACTAAAACGATTCCCTTTTAAACTTCAATTTCTCAATTAAATGTTGGCTGCATAAAATATAAAGTAAAACCAGACACATGCATAACCTCTATTCAAAAATGTATTTCACTTTAAGAATAAAAAAAACACGAATTGTGTAGAGTACGTTTTTATGCGATAAGTAATTTCGATGTTCTAAAAAGGGACCTGTCATTTTTCGATAGTAAATGATAAGCAACTGTATATTTTAAATATGAAAAATATATATATTTTTTTACAGATTCACTTCATAAAAGAAGACTTAAACTTATATGTATAGAGCAGCCTGGAGGTTGCAAGTAATGTTATTTGTGTAAAACATTAATAACCAAATTGTTTTAAATGTTTATTTCATGCTTTTTATGGTAGACTGTTTTGAACAAAGCGATTCTGGAGGTACGGTTCGTCCGATATATTAACCACGCAGGGACCGGGGAGAACGGACACTGCTGTGACGGGAGGGGATTCTTCTGCTTCAGTAAATGTGATCATCGCTTTGTCATCTGTCTAGATGAAGCAGATAAGTAAGTAAATGTAATCATCGCTTTGTCATGTGTTTAGATGAAGCAGATAAGTAAGTAAATGTAATCATCGCTTTGTCATCTGATTAAATGAGGCAGATAAGTAAGTAAATGTAATCATCGATTTGTCATCTGTTTAGATGAAGCAGATAAGTAAGTAAATGTGATCATCGCTTTGTCTTCTGTTTAGATGAGGCAGATAAGTAAGTCAATGTGATCATCGCTTTGTCATCTGTCTAGATGAAGCCGATAAGTAAGTAAATGTGATCATTGCTTCGTCATCTGTCTAGATGAAGCAGATAAGTAAGTAAAAGTGGTCATCGCTTTGTCATCTGTCTAGATGAAGCAGATAAGTAAGTAAATGTAATAATCGCTTTGTCATCTGTTTAGATGAGACAGATAAGTAAGTAAATGTAATCATCGCTTTGTCATCTGATTAGATTAGGCAGATAAGTAAGTAAATGTAATAATCGATTTGTCATCTATTTAGATGAAGCAGATAAGTAAGTAAATGTGATCATCGCTTTGTCTTCTGTCTAGATGAGGCAGATAAGTAAGTCAATGTAATCATCGCTTTGTCATCTGTCTAGATGAAGCCGATAAGTAAGTAAATGTGATCATTGCTTCGTCATCTGTCTAGATGAAGCAGATAAGTAAGTTAATGTGGTCATCGCTTTGTCATCTGTCTAGATGAAGCAGATAAGTAAGTAAATGTAATCATCGCTTTGTCATCTGTTTAGATTAAGCAGGTAAGTAAGTAAATGTAATCATCGCTTTGTCATCTGTTTAGATGAAGCAGATAAGTAAGTAAATGTAATCATCGCTTTGTCATCTGTTTAGATGAAGCAGATAAGTAAGTAAATGTAATCATCGCTTTGTCATCTATTTAGATGAACAAGATAAGTAAATGTGATCATCGCTTTGTCATCTGTTCAGATGAGACAGATAAGTAAGTAAATGAGACAAATAAGTAAGTAAATGTAATCATCGCTTTGTCATTTGTTTAGATGAGACAGATAAGTAAGTAAATGTAATCATCGATTTGTCATCTGTTTAGATGAAGCAGATAAGTAAGTAAATGTGATCATCGCTTTGTCATCTGTCTAGATGAAGCCGATAAGTAAATTAATGTGATCATCAATTTGTCATCTGTCTAGATGAAGCCGATAAGTAAGTAAATATGATCATCGCTTTGTCATCTGTGTAGATGAGGTAGATAAGTAAGTAAATGTTATCATTGCTTTGTCATCTGTTTAGATGAGACAGATAAGTAAGTAAATGTAATCATTGCTTTGTCATCTGTTTAGATGAGACAGATAAGTAAGTAGGTGTACTCATTGCTTTGTGATCTGTTTAGATGAGACAGATAAGTAAGTAAATGTAATCATTGCTTTGTCATCTGTTTAGATGAGACAGATAAGTAAGTAAATGTAATCATTGCTTTGTCATCTGTTTAGATGAGGCAGATAAGTAAGTAAATGTAATCATTGATTTGTCATATCTTTGAATGAGACAGATAAGTAAGTAAATGTAATCATCGCTTTGTCATCTGTTTAGATGAGACAGATGAGTAAGTAAATGTAATCATCGCTTTGTCATCTGTTTAGATGAGACAGATAAGTAAGTAAATGTAATCATCGCTTTGTCATATGTTTAGATGAGACAGATAAGTAAGTAAATGTAATCATCGCTTTGTCATCTGTTTAGATGAGACAGATAGGTAAGTAAATGTTATCATTGCTTTGTCATCTGTTTAGATGAGACAGATAAGTAAGTAAATGTAATCATTGCTTTGTCATCTGTTTAGACGAGACAGATAAGTAAGTAAATGTAATCATTGCTTTGTCTTCTGTCTACATGAGGCAGATAAGTAAGTCAATGTGATCATCGCTTTGTCTTCTGTCTAGATGAAGCCGATAAGTAAGTAAATGTAATCATTGCTTCGTCATCTGTTTAGATGAGACAGATAAGTAAGTAAATGTAATCATTGCTTTGTCATCTGTTTAGACGAGACAGATAAGTAAGTAAATGTAATCATTGCTTTGTCATCTGTTTAGATGAGACAAATAAGTAAGTAAATGTAATCATCGCTTTGTCATCTGTTTAGATGAGACAGATAAGTAAGTAAATGTAATCATTGCTTTGTCATCTGTTTAGATGAGGCAGATAAGTAAGTAAATGTAATCATTGATTTGTCATATCTTTGAATGAGACAGATAAGTAAGTTAATGTAATCATTACTTTGTCATCTGTTTAGATGAGACAGATAAGTAAGTAAATGTAATCATCGCTTTGTCATCTGTTTAGATGAGACAGATGAGTAAGTAAATGTAATCATCGCTTTGTCATCTGTTTAGATGAGACAGATAAGTAAGTAAATGTAATCATCGCTTTGTCATCTGTTTAGATGAGACAGATAAGTAAGTAAATGTAATCATCGCTTTGTCATCTGTTTAGATGAGACAGATAGGTAAGTAAATGTTATCATTGCTTTGTCATCTGTTTAGATGAGACAGATAAGTAAGTAAATGTAATCATTGCTTTGTCATCTGTTTAGACGAGACAGATAAGTAAGTAAATGTAATCATTGCTTTGTCTTCTGTCTACGTGAGGCAGATAAGTAAGTCAATGTGATCATCGCTTTGTCTTCTGTCTAGATGAAGCCGATAAGTAAGTAAATGTGATCATTGCTTCGTCATCTGTTTAGATGAGACAGATAAGTAAGTAAATGTAATCATTGCTTTGTCATCTGTTTAGACGAGACAGATAAGTAAGTAAATGTAATCATTGCTTTGTCATCTGTTTAGACGAGACAGATAAGTAAGTAAATGTAATCATCGCTTTGTCATCTGTTTAGATGAGACAGATAAGTTAGTAAATGGAATCATCGCTTTTTCTTCTGTCTAGACGAGGCAGATAAGTAAGTAAATGTGATCATCGCTTTGTCATCTGTCTAGATGAGACAGATAAGTAAGTAAATGTAATCATTGCTTTGTCATCTGTTTAGATGAGACAGATAAGTAATTAACTGTAATCATTGCTTTGTCATCTGTTTAGATGAGACAGATAAGTAAGTAAATGTAATCATTGCTTTGTCATCTGTTTAGATGAGGCAGGTGAGTAAATGTATTCATTGCTTTGTCATCTGTCTAGATGAAGCAGATAAGTTCAGATGAGATAGATTTTAAGATGTACTCAACGAAGTTTGAACTGTATTGCATTTTCAATACTTTATGGAAATGTTTTCTACATTTTATTGTCTACATATGAAATTGTGTACATATTTTGAAACAAGGTTGAGAAAAAAAAATACCGAAAATACAAATTAAGAATGTTTTTGAAAATTTTTATTTGAATTATTCAATATTTTTCATCAATTGTCATCAATTGTAACCCCTGGTAATGCATCCTAATTTTTTTTATCTTAAATGATCTAATGGCACTATTATCTTAGAATGTCTTTAAAAGTTATCATTACGTAAGGTACAATGCTTATACACTTAAGTAACTAAAAAAGATCACTGGTGATAATGGACTTATCATTAATATCTGTTTATCCAATCCGTGTGAATAAGATGGAATATCTGTAGCTATGTTTGGTAAGAGAGGTTAATTCATGTCTTTGATGTTTTCTTGTTCTAACTTGATAGGGAGATATAGGGTTTAAAAAACTCCTCAAAATAGTTTTAAAAAAAGAAACGTACAAAAAGTTCTTGAAAGCTTATGTCCTTTGTTACTGTCTTATCCTATCTTGAAACAATCAGGCTTCATACATAATCTATATAAAATCTAGTTTGAAGTTTTAAACGTAAACAAATAGAAGCAATACAAGGTATAAAAATGAGGTAAAATTTGCACAGAAAGATAAGAAATATTTCCGTAGATTTAGTCATTGATTTATGCCAAATATCATGTGTAGTTACTAATACATCAACAGCTTGAACAAAACAAAACTTATGCAAATGAAAAATCAAGATATGGATAAACACGAATGCCAAAAGCGATGCCAAGTTTTAAAAAATGATTAACACATAAAGAAAATTCAAATATTTACATCCACTGAATATTGTTCCCTTCACTTTTGTTGTCATTACCATTAATCAGTGCATGAACAACACTGTGCAAGCAATGTGTGTATTTTTATCAAACAATGGCTGTTCCATCATTTCTACATACAATTACATATTCATCTCAAAATAAAAGTTCACAAATTCAATTTTACTTTGAATGATTTTTAATACAAATGTAAATATAAACAATAAAATGCTTTCTTTGTTTGTTATTCAGGGAATTAACGTTGCACGAATTGCAGAAAAAAATTACAAAATCCACATACGCCAGATTTTTTCTGCAATAGCTGCGAAATTTCTTCCCGTACTTACAACAAAGAAGCATTTTATTATTTAAAACTGTGCCTCACATGATTTTAAGCTATAAATCAATTTTTGTGAAAGAGACGTCAATATACAGTACGTGTACTTATGTTGACGTTTTCAAAATTTAGCGTAGTCACTGGGTATGGAGTTGTTAGCGTAATCATGAATAAGTGCTATGCATCTCCGAGCCATGTATTTTATACACAAATGATTTTCTTAGCTATATTCATAAATAAGCACACCGTTGTCTGAACCAAATCTTTCAAAATATGAAGCCTACTTTTTTAAATACACCTACAGTACCTAATATCATGTCTGTATCTTAGCACTTGCTGACAGCTCTTGTGACACACTTTGAATTTAGTTGTTTATTTTTGTGTTTTTTCAGCAACAGAGACGTGAACCGTTGTCTTATAGGGAGAAAGTCGTCAGGCGCCATTGATAACGCTAACGTCAATATATTCGCCGACGCCTTCGGTGGAGTGAGAAATCCAATGATATTTTATCTAGATATCTGGAAGGTAATTATGAACAGCCTAGTGTCAATATATTCGCCGTCTCCTTCGGTGGAGTGCGAAATCCAATGATTTTTTATCTGGATATCTAGATGGTAATTATTAACCACCTAGTGTCAATATATTCGCTGTGTCCTTTGGTGGAATGAGAAATCCAATGATATTTTATCTAGATATCTGGAAGGTAATTATTAACAGCCTAGTGTCAATATATTCGCTGTGTCCTTTGGTGGAGTGAGAAATCCAATGATATTTTATCTAGATATCTGGAAGGTAATAAGATACTACTTAGTTGAGGGTATGGAGTATAATTCAGACTTAATTTTTTGAATGTAAATATCAACTGTTTAAATGTCTTATTTCATTAATATTCTTTTTAGATATCTTGTTTAATTAATATTATTGATGAGGATTTCAGATGGTAGGAAATTAATGTAGATGTAAACTGTTGAAATGATAATTACAGATATTTTAACAAGACATCTGAAATGTAGTAATATGGTTAAAATGAGAAAGGTACTATGACAAGCTAAGAAATCTGGCAATTTGAGCTCAAAAAGAACACAAATAATTACCATACAGTGAGTGAAAATAAAGGGGTTTGCAAAGTCAAGTTAATTTCTTTCCTACAACTTAGAATTAAATTAAAGAAAGTCTTTCAAACAAATACATTATAGATATTTATATTTTTTATTAAACGCTTTAAAACAGTTCATCGTCCGCATTCGTCCATTGAGGCTGTAAACAGACAGATAAGAACTTATCTTAATCAAGGTGATAACATTTCTTATGCTCATTTACTTATATTGTGTTTCCTCCATAGTAAAATATGGATAACCAGTTCTGTATATTCATACATGTAGATTATACCCAGTATACCTTAACTTTTGATTTATTGGAGAAAGCACAACTTAAGGTTAATGTTTTAATGTATATGAGTAACATTACATTAATTTTGAGTTACAGGAGAAAGCACAACTTAAGTTTGATGTTTGATGAAGATGAGTTACATTACATTACATTAATTTTGGTTGACACGAGAAAGCACAACTTAAGGTTGATGTTTTTGATGTAGATGAGTAACATAACATTAATTTTGGTTTACAGCAGAAAGCACAACTTAAGGTCGTTGTTTTTTATGTAGATGAGTTAGAGTACATTACATTAATTTAGGTTTACAGGAGAAAGCACAACTTAAAGTCGATGTTTTGGATGTAGAAGAGTTACATTACATTAATTTTGGTTGACAGGAGAAAGCATAACTTAAGTTTGATGTTTGATGAAGATGAGTTACATTACATTGCATTAATTTTGGTTTACAGGAGAAAGCACAACTTAAGGTTGATGTTTTCGATGTAGATGATAATTCAGATGATAAAGTAGACTTTCTGTATGGGAACTTCACATTATCTGCAGCAAAAACTAAAAAGTTGTCACGTGACCAGAGCTTCCGGTTAGCGACACCTAGGACTTTGTAAGTATCGGGCTCTCTGTTGTCAAACAGGCATGGTAAACAGATTGACAAATAAAAGAAGATTGCCAGTTTTTATTTAAACAATATATTTTATCCTGTTTTTTGAATAATCAAAAAAGGATCGGGCAGTAGGCAATGCCTTTATTAATTAATCCTGTACACAAGTTAACTATTGACACAATCATAACTATGGATTTTGTTTTGTTTGGTGTCCTGCATCAGCAGATAGTATGTATATGAATATTTCTCCAAATAATCATGCTGGTTTATATGTATTTTTATTGACGTTTCTGAACGTTTCCATTGTTTTAGACTAGATTACAAAGTGAGTGTTTATTGTGAGGAGAACTACTACGGAACCGGATGTGATGTAATGTGTGAGGAACGTAATGATGTTACAGGACATTACACTTGTGACATGAAGACAGGAGCGAAAGTGTGTATGGAGGGTATGTATAATGTTATAATTGATTATTTCAGGAAAACTAAATGTTATAAACAGGATATTCTCATACATCTTTCAAAACAAAATATCTGATATTTCTTAAAAGTTTGAACTTATCTGAGATAGTGAATCTTTACACAAGTAAAGTAATTAAGAATTAATGAAATGATAATGATAGGCCTTCACACTTTAAGGTTGTGAGGAGGATAACTGTGATAAATTACAAATTTAAGAGTTATCCTTCCTGGCGGAGGATCTGAGTACCTTAATGAAATAATAACGAAAGCTTATCCCTGTTTAAGGTTGGGAGGGGGATAATTGTGATAAACAGCCAGAGGAGATGTGCGGGACACAGCGATGTGGCCACAACCAGATCTGTAACAATGCCACCTCAGAATATACCTGCGGGTGTATTAAAGGTTTTACAGGTACGGGAAAAATTATCTTCAATTTAATGAGTCTAAAGGTTCAATTTAAAGTATTTCAAAATTTCATTATTAGATATATTTTAGTTCTTTTCAAATTAAACAAAATTTTGATGTAAAATATTGAAAAGATCTCGTTATAGTTATTGTATTTGAATAACAAATTTATTTATTTGACTATAAAAAATGTTGTTTATCAAAGTAATAGAATTTTTTCCATTAAAGAAACTACAATATTCATTGGTTTTATTTTACTATTACTGTGAAATCACAAATTTTCGCTGGGGTTAATTTTCGTTGTTTTCAAGGTATGAAGAGACCCACGAATTTATGTCCACCACGAAATGTAAAATGTTACATACATATCTACTTAGCAATTCTTCATCCACAAATTCAAATCCCCAGAAACCAAGAGTTTTTATCAAAACTGAAAATTTGACCCCACGAAAATATGTGATTTTGTAGTATTTGCTATTTTAAGTCATCCCTTAAAAATTAAATTAAAACGCTATTCCTACGTCTAATATCTTTGCCTTTACACAACATTGTAGGAGACAACTGTACAGAGCCAGTGCTAACAGAGTGTTCTGATGGCTACTGTCACAACAATGGATCCTGTCACGTGACAAACAATACCCTGACCTGTAACTGTACTATAGGGTGGCGGGGGGATAGGTGTGCGGAGGAGTATGACCCCTGTGAGTTCAATCCCTGTCAGAGAAATGGAACGTGTATACCTAAAGATAAGGAAGGATATATGTGTCTGTGTCCTATAGATTCACAGGGACTTCACTGCGAAAATATCAGTGTTTGTTTAACTCAGGAAAACGTGTGTTTGAATGGTGGAAAGTGCATACAGGAGAATTACAAAGAGGACTGGTATTTCTGTGATTGTCCCGTGCATTACATAGGAAAGCATTGTGAAACGTTAGTTAAGAATGTAACAAACGTCGAAAATGTGACGGATAACGTTAACGTAACACAGACAGTAACGACAACTCCTGTCCCCACAAGTACTGTTACTGAAGGTGAGGCATAGATTCTTAGTAATCACCATTAATTAATCATTTTTATCCTATACCGCTAAATACATCAAAAATAACATGAAAGCAATATACTAATTAACATTCTTTCACTACTATATATCACTATTAGATTGAAAATACCCAAACACTTTTTTGTTCAGCGCCATCTACACTTAACAGTAAAAATGAAACGTAATTACTGATCACGTTAATTTTAATTCTCCATCATTAAATGACAATCATTTTGTCATAATATGCTAATCATTCTGAACCATATTCTAACAAAGTGGTCAGTTATGAAGATGTTTGTTCAATTCAATCTACCAGTGGAAAAATTACCAAACCATTAAAATAAGTCATTTAGGATATTACATTTAATCTTTGAATACGATTACTTTACAAGCAAATACATGTACAATCTATCCTTTAGTATGGTACTGAATGATAATTTTAATACTTTGTTGTTAGATTATTATTTACACACTGAAATGTCGACGGGTTTTCCCGTTATTTCCCGCTCATGACAAAGAGCACATGGCGGGTGTGACCGATCAGCAGGGGATGTTCACTCCTCCAGGGCACCTGATCCCAGCTTTAATGTTTTGGAGGTCTATTGTTGTTATGCTCTATGTTGTATTGTTTAATGGACAGTTAGGCTTGAATGCTTTTCATTATCTCCATATTATATTTCATCACAAATAAATTTACAAATAATTATAACATACCTTCTTATACTAAACAAACTATACCCATTAAAATATCAAATGAATTTTTTTGTAGCACTTGTTCCATCTGTAAAAATAATATGATACAAATGTTACCTGATTCAATATCATCATGCATTATGTAATGTCAGTATAAATGCCGTGCTGTTACATTTAATAATTGAATGATTTTTTAGAGCAATCTAATCATTTATTTTCGTCCTTTACCTAATAAGTCATTTAATGACAATTAACGATTAAAATTAAATTTTACAGTCTCTTTTTCATTACAACCATCTGCTAAGAAACAAACGATATAATAGCTTCTTTTGGTGTTATTTGAATTAAGAAATGTAAATTTACTTTATCTGAATTTTAAATATATTAACAGATAAGTAAAAAGTACTTTCAATAAACCCTTTTCCTGTGACATATGTTGCCTAGGAGTTATTCCCCTTACCCGCCATCTTGTAGGGCAAAGTAGTGAATTTACCTAATTTGAGCAACCAATTGTAAACATGCATGCAAGGCATATATGGGGGGAAATATTCACAATCTTATAATCATGAATCAATAGAGGCTTTAACAAACAAATATTCATATGAAAAATAGCATTATCTTTACCACAGTAACCAGTATAACAAATTAAACTTGATTGAATAATGAAGGAATCTGGGAATGTTGCCCTACAATATGGCGGCTAAGGGGAAAAACTCCTAGACAAAATATGTCATAGGAAAAGGGTCTATTTCTAAAACTTCAAGAAAACTATAACAGTGAACAGTGTGTAATGCATAATTTCACCAAAACCATTTTAAAAACAATTTCAGTTTTATTTTTTCTAACATGTATACACCAAAGTTCTATCAAATAAATTAGAATCATTTTAAGATTGAGTATGAAAGTAGCATTTTTCAATTCAATTCAATGAATTTACTTTATTTGTAGCGTCAAAAGCGATTCTGTTGTACGAGGGATAGTAAACGTAGTTTATCATAATTTCATTTGCAACACCAAAGCTGGAGTGGGTTTCTACGGGAAAAAGTAGTTTATCAAAAGCTTTATATCATTGCATTGCCAAATAGCTGGCATGAGTTGACAGGGGAAACTAGAAGTAGATAACTGTAAAATCACATATTTTCAAGGGTTCAAATTGGCATAGTTTGACGAAAATATGTGGAACTATTCAGAGATAATATATGTTAAAAATTGCATTTCGTGATGGGTGGACATAAATTCACGGGTCTCTTAATACCACGAAAATTTCACCCCCATGAAAATAATGAATTGACCGTATCATAAGTCGGCTTTCTTAGAAGGGCCAAAAGCTGATGTGATTTTACGAAGAAAGTAAAAGTATAGTTTACTTTATTTGCAACACCAAAACTAATTTTACGAGGGAAAGTAGATGTAGTTTTTCATATCTTAGCTTAATTTTAGCACCAAATCTGTGGTGGTTTTACGCGGGAAAGTAGATGTAGTTTTTCAAATGTTTACTTTGTTTTCAGCGCCGAAAGCTGTGGTGGTTTTACGCGGGAAGGTAGACAACAGAAATGAAGAGGAAGTCAGAAAAGCACTTATGAAAATTATACATGATTTTACAAATATTAAAGGGACGCTGACGTTGGACATTGAGAAGGATGTCTTTAAAACAGAGGAGGGGTATGTATGTTATATATAATTAGACACAAAACCATCTGAAAATTTGAAATTTCAATAACTTTTAGATGAAATAAGATTTTTAATATATTTTTGTGTGAAATTCTATTAAAATATGTAAGTCGTAATATTATACAGGAAATATTAACTTCAAATCTGTGTCAATGCACCTTTAAAGCTAAATTATCAAAACGTAATATTTTTGTTTACGTTTAAATAAGCATCCTTCAAATTTATATAAACTAGTTATTAATAGTATATAAAATTTTAAGAGATAACGAATAGTGTTTGAGCTAAAAAACATATTTTAAATCTATAGCTTAACAAGCACGGACCTCGGAATCATCAGAAGTGAGATATGGTGCATCCCCTGCCGACCAGTCATACCCATGTTTGCTCCTTGTCATGATCTTGAAATAGCATAAACGTTTGACTGACGAATTGTATGAAACATGTTAGTCAGCATTTGACTTAATATTAGATTGTATTAGCTTACAAAGTCTTTACCATAATGTCGATAATAAAACACTCGAAATGATGACTTTAAACCAAAATTAAATTTCTTGTTAAAGGCAACAACTAAAAATGTCACAGGGAACGACGGAGGTGGTGAATAATGATATCTCGAATGAAACAATGATAGAGAAAAAAATCTGTTTCAAAAATGAAACAGAATCGATAAAAAATCACAATATTAACTAGTGCTAATTGTAACGGGGACCGTTACAGATGTTCCCCAAACGCTCCCCAACTCCCTTTTGGTGCCATATTCCCTGTAAGCTTTATTAAATAAGACAATATCTGTGCATTTTTGACTTTAACAACGTTTTCCAAGAAGGATACCAATTATATTCAAATTTTAACATTGCACACGTGAGCATGTGAATGCACGTGCGTAATGATCATTTCATCTTGTCTACACTTTCTATATATTTAAATATACTGTATATTAAAGCATTTAGTCCAAAAGTATTAAAAATCACTCATTCAAGTATATTTTTAATTTCACTCGTTCCAAATGCAGGCAGGTGCGTGCACGTGCATGATGACCATACCTTCTTGTAGGAGGCCCTTATATCTATCTATGTTCTAAATCTCATCTTGTTTGGTTGATAACCAAAGGAGTTATAGCCATTTCAAGTTTCAGCCAATCACATTGCAGCACACGTGCATGCGCGTGATTTCTTTAAATTTTTTGTATATCATATTGCAGGATATCCTAATGCATGACTATGTTTTAAATTTCAAAGCATTTCGTCAATAAACAAAGGAGATATAGCCATTTAAAGTTTCAGCCAATCAGATTGCAGCGCACGTGCATGCGCGTGATTTCATGAAATTTTTTCCATATTATATTATAATATATCCTATTTCATGACAATTTTCAAAATTTCAAAGCATTTCATCAAAAAACAAAAGAGATATTGAGATTTTTGTTTCAGCCAATCAGAGCAAGGCGCACGTGCATGCGCGTGAGTTCGTGCTAATTTGACAGTGTCATATTATTTACACTATCAATATATTCTTATATAATGAGTTTCAAAACACACCTATTAACCCTAAAAAGGTTTTAGGTCAGTTGGGTGAACAGTTTCTGAGAACACTTCCGGACAAAAAAGTACCGGAGAACAAATAAGAAAAAAAGAATAATAATAATAATAATAATAATAAGAAACAGAGTAAAAACAATATGTTCCCAAACTCCGTTTGGGGAACATAATAAGGTATATATTAAATGATTATAAACACTGTATATAACAGGTAACGCGGGGGAGTCGCTAAAAAGTTTAGGGGAGTCGTTTTTAAGGTATGGGGGAGTAGATTTTCATCGCTTCGGAGTCAGAATAGATGTGACTTTTTTCAGTATATGTAAGAAGTATTTAAAAAATACAAATAGCCCTCGGAAGGTAGCAATAGTAAAGCTTTGTCTTGGTCATTTGTCCGACTAGCTTATATGTTTAATTTTCTAAAACACTTTGAAACTATTCATATATACCAAAACGACGTGACCCACATCTCTTCTGACTCCGAAGCGGTGGAAATCTACTCCCCTATACGCTGAAAACGACCCCAATGCCTTTTAGCGTCTTCCCCGCGTTACCCGGTATACACGGTTTTAGGAGATATTAATGTTTGAAAGATCAAGACATAATCATGTGTTGACGGACAATAAAGAGATATTATACAGCTTTTGTTACATTCTGTTACAGTGAAATCTTAACTGAGATAGGAGTAAGAGGAACGTCGGACGGAGAACCCTTCAATGTCGGAGAGTTACAGCGCGTGCTCTCTGACTCCCACGCCTCAATGGTGGATAGCTATCTCCCGATTCCGCGGAATCTCCCCGACAGCCACACCCATACACCGCTGCCAAACGCCTCCCAAAAACAAATCCAGGTCAGTAACTCAGTAGGTCACCCCGACAGCCTCACCCATACACCGCTGCCAAACGCCTCCCAAAAACAAATCCAGGTCAGTAACTCAGTAGGTCACCCCGACAGCCACACCCACACACCGCTGTCAAATACTTCCAAAACAAATCAAGGCCAGTAAGTCAGTTGGTCACCCCGACAGCCACATCCAATCGCCGCTACCAAACGCCTCCCCAAAACATACTGTAAACCAATTTTATTCGCGACGACTTTATTTTGCGATTTACCAGGGATAAACTAATTCGCGACGATTAATTTTCGCGATCAAGCCTTTTTGCATCTGTTTTTAATACAAAAATATTATATACTATAAGGAACGGTTCGCGGCGAGAAATATTCGCTATGACGAGGCTTTCGCGAACTTTGCGAAAATATTTTGCACGCGAATAAAAGTTGGTTTACAGTATCTAGGTCAGTAGGTCATTAGGTCGACCGACAGACACACCAATGCACCGCTGTCAAACGCCTCCCCAAAACAAATCCAGGTCAGTAAGTCAGTAGGTCACCCCGACAGCAACACCCATACGCCGCTGTCAAACGCTACCACAAACAAATCCAGGTCATTAGGTCATCCCGACAGCCACACCCATACGCCGCTGCCAAACGCCTCCCAAAAACAAATTCAGGTCAGTAAGTCACCCCAACAGCCACAACCATACACCGCTGCCAAACTCCTCCCAAAAACAAATCCAGGTCAGTAAGTCACCCCAACAGCCACACCCATACACCGCTGCCAAACCCCTCCCAAAAACAAATCCAGGTCAGTAAGTCACCCCGACAGCCACACCCATACACCGCTTTCAAACGCCTCCCAAAAACAAATTCAGGTCAGTAAGTCACCCCAACAGCCACACCCATACACCGCTGCCAAACGCCTCCCAAAAACAAATTCAGGTCAGTAAGTCACCCCAACAGCCACACCCATACACCGCTGCCAAACTCCTCCCAAAAACAAATTCAGGTCAGTTCTCACCAGACAATTAAAGTTACGTACATCTCTCACATCCCTCGAAAAGTGAATTAGATATATGCTGCTTATTAACTATTAGTACTGAATTAATAGTGAGGCAGGCATATTGGACAAGGTAAGATAACGTCTAGGGACTAGGGCTGACTTGCCCTTCAGAACTGAGATATTTCTTGTACCCCAATCAATCATCATTTTATTATTTTCTTTTATTTAAGTGATCAAAGAGTGTATTGTGTATACAAAGATTGGATCTGAATAAAAAGAAATTGCTTTTTACTAAGGGAACTATTTAAAAAAAACTATGCGAAATGAAAAGACTTGTGAGATAAATCATCAAAACTTTACCCTTTACAACTTACTGAACTGTGAACCACCATACACTTAAGGACAGACGAGACGTTCCTTAATAATAAATAAAATTTTCCAAGAGTTTGTCATTAAAGTATTGATACTTAAACATGTTTACTCACAAAAAATTAAGGTACCTTACCAGGCATTTCTGCAAGATACCAGGGGTAGTTTTTTTTTTTTTTTTTTTTTTTTTTTACATAATCCTTTTTGGAAGAATATAATTTTCCAATTTTAAATGTTTAAGTGGTTTTTTTTTTTGAAAAACGTTTAGAAACTGGTTTAGAAATCAGAATATTATTAAAATATTATCTGAATTTTGAATATTTTTCATACATTACGAAGATATACAAGACATATTTTGAGGAACGTCTCGTCTGACCTTAAATAACTTTCATTGAAGTGAACCAACGTTATCGTAATTAACAAAACATCTGATTATAAAGATGAGTACACTGGACAAAGATAATGTTCAAATCTCCTGAAAGAACATGATTTCTTTTAAAAATACAATATTTTGATGATATATATTCAACTATTGTTTATGTTCAACAAGCATTCATCCACTTAAAAAAAGCTAAGAACATTATATATACACCTGTTACAAAGATCACTCACTTGTAATTATGAGATCCATCAATGTTTGTTATTTTCATTTTTCATTCGCCTGTATAAAGAAAAAAAAATGAAATGGTGTCATATTAAATATTAAGCGGACAAAAGAAGGATATGGAGATAACGAACAGTAATCAATATCAAAGTCCATAAAACAATACAAAATAGCAGCAGAGCAAACACGGACCTCCAGAATATTAGAGGAGGGATGAGAAGTTGTCTTTATCTTTACTTGTGTAGACGTCAATTTTACCATAAAGCAAAGCAACTTTGAATTAATTGTTTTCACATTGAACATGTATTTGTAATATCAAAGCGTAAATAACTAGTATATTTGTTTAATATTATGTGTTCCTGACTTTCTCATACTTTTGTTTACTGGGCAATTTGAATTCTGGAATTCTTAAGATTCTAGAAACAAAATGAAACGAAGACTTTCCTATTTAAAAAAAAAATGATATGATGTCACACAAAAGTGTCTATTCGGAATATCTAGTGGAATATGCATGTGTTAAGTTTGTATATGTTTTTAAGATGTAATTATTTGGTCACGTTTGGTCATATTTCACTGAACAATGTTTATATCAAATCAGAAACCAATAATCGATCTATCTTTTCTGAAGTCAAGCGTTTCTTCCTTTTATTTTACTATTAAACATTTCCAAGTTTATGCAACACATTTGTTCGCTTTGCATACCGACTTTTACGTATATACAGAGAAAAGAGATGGTTTTAATGATGACGCATTTGAATATTGTTTGTCCAATTGTCTTAACTTACAAATACTTCCGCAAGCCTTGTATATTAATGATGAACTATAAATTGGATTTGTTTGTACACTGTATTTTTTTATGTAAATTAACTAGCTTTCTCTTGAGTTAAAAAAGTTTTCCCTTATGTTAATAATTACAATGTAGTTGCGTACATGTAACACCTTTCTGAAAAGATAACACGAGGGCTAAAAGTTAAATTATAATAACACACCTCTTTATGATATTTGGCATTAAAGACATTCTCTGAGTTAAAAAATGTCAATTTTTTACTCAGGAAATTTCCTTTTATTTCGTTATTTGTTTATCTCTTAATGCTAATTAATACTTTTATGAATGATTTACGTATGCATGCATATATGGTTTTGTTAATTAAATCTTGACATATATCTGTATCATTTAATAATATACGTCAAGAAAGGGAATGAAATCAGCAGTGTTTACTGTAAAAATAATGAGAGAGAGAATAAAATTATGCATATTGAAAAGCAAGTTTCCTTAATTTAAGGATCAAACAATCTTTTTAATGGCAAAATTATCGAAGTAAAAACTACAAACCTTGTTAGTATTCTTGATCTTTGTTGTTGAAAATTTGGAAATAAATGTTCTACAAAAATGTTATATTTACATTTTTAATAATTTATTCATACCCTACACGAAGTTTATTTGATACTTATGTAACATTTGTTTGTGAAATATTTATATCAAAGTCTATCTCCATATCCATTTCTGTTTATATTTATTTACTTGTATCATTTCATAGAGTATACACATGCAAATACATTTTTATTTAAAGTATGTTGCATGAATTAATACACTATTATTCATTTGTAATAGTCAAGTTTGATTTCCATCTATAGCAGTGTATATTCTATTTACAGCATGACGGCTGGATTCATCATTATTGGTTCGTTGTCCTACTAGCTGTTTTAGCCATCGTAGCTCTTGTGATGTTTGTCATTGGTTTTATCATTATTAGAAAGAAAAAGTAAGTTTTAGACACGCTAAAGTCAAGAAAAGTAAGGTTTACTCAAGCTTCAGTCAAGTAAGGTTTCATCGAGGTACAATTTAGAAAAGTAAGTTTTATTCAGGCTACAATGAAAAGTTTTATGTTTTTATTGAACTGCAGTCAAGAAAAGAAAGATTTAATTGACTAGTTTAAAGTTTAAATCTGGAAAAGTATATGTAGTCAAGCTACAGTCCAGAAAAAGTAAGTTTTTATTATGGCTTTCTATGGATATATCAGGGGTAATTTACAAACTGAAAATTATTATTGAAATAGGTCATTAGAACATTGATTTGTTGTTCTCTTTATAATAATATATTTTTCTATTAGATCTCTAGAAGAAATGGACAATAAAGCAAACGTGGCGAGGAGCAGTACAAATGTGACGGATTCTAATACTTCTAATGCTCAGTCTTTTGAGAACTCTCTGTATTTTGAAATGAATAACCAAAAACAGGGGAGCGGGAAAGTGAATTTTAAAGCAATGCCGTGACGTCACTGTGGACCTTAACAAATGTCTCAACATCAAGCAGCCAGCGCCATTTTCTTTAAATGCTTGTAAACCAAATGCTTTCTAAGAGTGTGCCAAATTGAGGACTCGATTGTAGCATATGCTTTTGTATATTCATTTTAAAAGAATATAATCACACTGCCTTAACAACAGGACTGACTATGTGGAGTGATCTTGGTTTTTTCTGCATGAGTGGAACGTGAATTGAATCCTTGCTTTGATTTAAAATTGACTTAAGTGTGAATTGTTTGAATGTTTTTGATGCAATTTGACGTTATTAGACAATACCAATTAAGGTGTTGATTATTATATATAAGACATGTTTGTGCCATGACTGAAAAGTTTGCAGTGATTTTTTAGTTACCAATTTAAAACACTATTCTATTACTTGTAGTAGGCAATCTCTTGTTAGAGGTAGCATTTATATACATTTTGTTAATTAATACTTTTGTACTGATACACATGTTGTACTGACATTAAAAACCCTTCTTCTTTGTGTGTACATGAATATCAGAGGATGTTTGGAATGTCTAGATTAGTTATGCATTTTGAAAAATAAATATATATACAGTAATGCTGTATTATGATTTGTTGAAAACTCTTCTTCATGTTGTAAACGTTTGTCCAGGTTATGGACAAGAGTGTTACATGTACTTAGACCATGTAGTAATGCTAAAGGTGAAAGGTTAAAGATGAATGTAACGAGCAGTGGTCGATTTCCGAAACACGTCTATAAACATTCCATTGTTTTCAGGGGAAATGTAGTTTTGAGTTTAATGAAAATTGGTACTGAAAGAAGATTTCATTGAAAAACGCCCCCCCCCCATCCCCAACGAAATAGAATTTTCGACTTTGGGCAATTTCCTCTTTTCTTTTTTCTGCTTGTTAACTTTTACAGGTAAGTAAAAAAATTCTCTGGCTGCCCTAACAACCCCCCCATCACTTTCAAAAACGTTGAGGTAGGGTTCAATGTTTCAACAGGTCAGAATGTGATGCGTAGTGGTCTTTACAACAGATATATAGCGCCTCCAGTATATGTTTTATCAAGCCTCTTTATCTTTCTTTATCCCAAACTAAAATGATAAGAAATAGCGAAGGAGAAACTTCAGGGGTACTATGCATTAACATATTCAAAGTGTTGTTAATAAGATGCGTATACCTAAAAATTCAAGGAAATTTTTTAAAAATTCGGAATAGATAGGTCGATAGGAAAAAAAACTTAAGTTTCTGTTAATTATATGTAGTTTTTGTCTTCAAACAATTTATTGGAATATCCATGGGTACCAACTGCTCTGTTATTAGCAGAAATATTTTTGTATTCAATTAAAGCAGACTATGTCCAAAATTTTGTTCATAAAAAGAGAGAAAAAAAATGCTGTGGTCTTCGACTCGATATTTGGACATTTTGACGACTATGAAAAACGTCAGTCAGCAGTTGACTCAATGATAAATTGTATTTGCTGACAAGGTCATTGTGTCGACCATGCAACTTACGAAATGATGCCATGAACGAGACTGCTGATATTCGTGTTTCATCAACTTGCTTGTCAATAATTTATCTCGTTTTAAAAACTGTTCATATGTAGAACATGCTCTTGTGCATCGAATCAACTGATATATATAAACTCCTGTATGCAGGTGATGAAGGTATATTGCCGCATAAGTAACGGAAGTTGACGATAGAAAAGTTAGTCATCACGTTTATCATATAGTTTGGTTGTTAGATAACCAATAACGTTTTTTTCAAGTAAAATATCGTCGCCCGCGTGGCGCAGTGGTTAGAGAGTCTGCTCTAGAGTCGCGAAGTAAAGAGTCAATCCTTACGTCGCGGGTTCGAATCCCACTGCGGGACGAGGAGACCGGTCCTTTGGATGAGACCGTATAAACCGAGGCCCCGTGTCGCAGTAGGTGCTGGCACGAAAAAGATCCCTCCCTGCTCAATGGCCCTGAGTGCCGAGTATAGGACAAAATTTGCAGCTCTCCACTGGCAAATGGTGGCGTCTCCATATGAGTGAAAAATTCTCGAGAGGGACGTTAAACAATATACAATCAATCAATCAATCAAGTAAAATATCCAAATATGAAACAGACGTGCCAGTCTTTGTGGTATCTTTTATCTCAAGCTCTCCAGGATATATTTTATCGACGTAGAAATGGAAATTGCTATTGTTAATTGACAATACGTCGTCGATATATCTACAGTCGAGTTGAAGGACACAAAGATTTGCACAATTTCTGCTTCAAATGAATACAAAAATAGGTCTGCTAATAACGGAGCGCAGTCGGTACCCAAGGGAATTCCAATATATTGTTGGAAGACCTGGTCTTCAGAAACCACATAGATATTGCCAATCCGAAATATCCCCCCGTGTACTTGAAATCAAAGATACTTCAAAGTCTCCACATCTGTTTTCACATTGAAAATTTTACTTGATACATACATATATAGTAAGCTTAAAACAATGCTTTATGTTTGATGACTTTTAAATCATCAACTTTCCGTATTCATGCAAAAATATACCTTCATAACCTGCATAAAGGGTTTATATCTCAGTTGATTCAATACGCATTCCTCCATGGCGCCTCTATGGCAGATGTTTTGGAGGCCCATCTTTTTCTGTTTCAAATTTGACTTGTTTCAAAAAAGGTTGACCTTGAGTACTTTTCTTTATCTAAATATATTTCATTACAGATACTGATCTAAATTCTGGGTCGGTTAATGTTTTTTGCCCACTTAAGAAATTTGTATTGCTGAAAAGATTTTTTTCAGATCGGACAATGCTCGTAATTTTTAGTTTTATGAAAAACAATTTCTTTGAGGTTTTTGAAAATAAAATTTTCTAATACTCTCTTCTGCTTGTTGAGATTCACAGAATGTTCTTATCACAAACACATGGTGCTTTTTTATCTTTTGGGGTTAGGGTAAGGGAAGTAACTCTGATGAATGCCAATCTTAAATCCCGCTAATAAGAAGAATTTATCACAAGATATTTGTCAAATAAATCAAAGAAGGCAAAAAAACAACACTTTAGTAGACTTTATGAAGATATTCCAACAGGGTTAATAGTCAAATAAAAACATTCTGGGATTATTTTTTTTCTTCAATAATATGCCTAGAAGTATGTATGAAGGGATTCTTGTTTGGTTTCTGACTAAATGAAATATTCAAAGCACGTGTATAAATCCATGCTTGTCCTAATATTTGGATTTTAAGTATTTTAAAAATCATATTCTTCTTTCTTCTGTATAATTGTACAGGTTAAAATATAAATGGTTAACTTACTTTGAATTTACAATGGACCATATTTTTAGTAGAATAGTGGCGTATAAAATTATCTCCATTACTGATTTTAAAAATTACATCAGAACAAATAATTGAACAACAATGAACAGACGATCGAACTTATGATTTTTATATCATTATCATTACCTTAACATGAGTACATTACAAAATTCGCTACCCGATACCTATAATTTTTTTTTTAAAATCTGATTTTGATATTGTCATCTAGTAGAAGGTTTATTATCAAAGTTTTACGTTAAAGGAAAATGATTAAATTTTTTAGATATAGAAATGTTATATCCCTTTTAACATATGTAAGTTTTGCCTCGTATTCGTGTTTTTGAACGAGAATCTTGTTCACCATGCGGGGTGAATTCTAAGACGTAAACATAAGTAGTGACTGTTCCTTCGTCATTAGAATTGAAAGGCACGTGTTTGACAGATGAGCCTTTAAAAAACCGAGGCTTCGTTTCACGGTAGACTTTGCCCCGGTAACCCCCCCCCCAAAAAAAAAACAAAAAAAAAAACAAAAAAAAACCAGTGCCTCGTGGTCCTAGGTATCGAACAAAGTCATTTTTTTTTTAAATCTCCCTAGGAGTGTAAATGAAGATTTGAATCTGACATTAAGGAGTATGTAGTCCTACAATCAATCAATCGATCGATTGATCGCACAATGAATCAATCTATGAGAACGCTATGTACCGAGCACTACAGTGACGTCATCTTGGTGTAACATTGCGGATGTTTGACTGTGACGACACTGGGTCATTAAGTGTCTGACCGAGGACATATGATAGAGATGGTGCAGTGCTGTAAATGTCTTTATTAGTTTGTAAATTACTCATGATAAATATATGGATGATGGTTCAGCGACTTGAGCTAATAACGTCCGTCCATACATCCGGGTCGCTTTAATTCACCATGACTAATTGTTATAGTAACATTATCAATATTCATATATGCACGACGTGATGGAGTCCCTTTTCCATGGAGCATGGAGTTTAATATTAAGCATTATATATGGTAAGTTTTTAATCTAAGAACTTTTTATTGTTTTAAAAATAAATAGTTTAACACAACACTGACACTTATTCAAATTTTCCTGTATTACCCTCAAACTCGGTCAAAGAAACCGATTATAGTTTGACATGTAATATATATATATCAAATATGTGGAAATAACGAATTGTAATTGAGCTCAAAAGCCAATGAAACAATAAAAATAAAAGCAGACATAGCACGGACCTCCAAAACATCAGACGTGGGATTAGGTGCCTTGTAGGAGTGAGCCATGCAGACCTGTCACACCCGCTCTTGTCATGATCAGAAAATAACGAAAATATTTGTAGACAACTCAGTGTATGAACACTGAACTTACAATCAGTATAAAAATGTCAGTCACCATTTGATTTAATGATGAATTATGTTTTCTGACAGACTCATTGTATCGACTACAGAACTCATGATGATACTTTTAAACGATACTGTTGATAGTCTTGCTTTTATAAAGTTTTTAGTATTTTGATAAAAAATATTGCTGTTAACCCATCAGGTCAAAATTAAACAAATTATCATTTTTTGAAGATCAACACTAGATATCTTTTTAAGGAGTTTTTATGTTCGTATCAACATTTCTTGATACATAATATAAAAAATTCTTCCTTTAAAAAGATTTATTTACGACTCAAATAAGTCACGTTATATCAGCAATCCTGTAAGAATGAAAATATACAAATTCTAACTTAGTACACGAAATTGATCCTGTAAAACTGGAACATTTCAATTTTTGTTGTAATGAAAACATAGATTATCTTACTCACATGAAAGTCCATTAAATTATAAATACATTTAAATATTAGATTAAATTCATGTTTTGAGTGGTACAATTCTTTTTTGTGATATTAATCTAAACTATTGTTTATGCATTTTATCCCCTTTAGAACTACCAGGGCTTCGTATATATTCACATATTTAATTATCTTAATGTTTGAGGTTTGTGTTTATATGTTCACATCTCTGTATATTTTTATGTTTTAGTAAGATCAATCACTTTTCTTATATTTATCCTTTTCATGTTAACAATATACTGAAAATGATATAGATACTAAATATAAAATATAAAACTTTTTATTTAGTATAGAAAAGAAAAGGCGAAAGAATTTTTTGTAAGCGTATGTAATACATAAGATAGAGATAAGCGTAGAAATACAATTACTATAACGTGTTATCAATGAATTTGTACTTAAGAACTTCCGCCTGTTAAGAGCGGAAGTAACCGGAAGTCATCACTGTTGTTAACACTTCAGTGTAAATCTTAGGCTTGTATTACAAACCTTGTGTATCAATGTTAACTTGAAATCTACATGTAGATTAAACTAGACACTACACACTAATAATCAATCACTTAATTTCACGATTTCAATGAATCCTTTATTAATAAAATTAATGCATTTCTTCATTTCATCTCTATTTATTTTAGAACTTTCTCATAATTCCGCGTCTTAATATCAAACTAACTGGCCAATGGTACATAAAATACAAATATACTTTAATAAATACTCCGATTTACATACTAAATTAGGGTGTATTTCTCTTGTAAACACAGGAAGTATAAATTTCGAAAAAATAGATTTGAATATTCTTACATTTTCATCATAAAAGCATTTACTCTGATAAATTACTTGCAGTCGCTTATTTAGTGCACGTTCTGTACAACTGAACGTTGAAATTTTTATGTTTCGTTTTGTTTTTTGTTGATTTCATAAAAAAGTTTATACAGGATTATTTTCGCTGCGTCTTATTTTCGCCCTTTTAGTCTAGCAAACAATTCCGCTCCGTTTTAAATTCGCCCATTCACTGTTTTATTTAAGAAATTATACTGTGTTCTTTTAATTCACCCACCTGTTGTAGGGGGATGGGGCGAAAATATACCTGTAGTATGATTTTCTTCTTTGACAAAATGAGTGTAATATAAGCTATCAAGAAAAGTTTTGTCAAAATGGTTCTTGTCCGAAGCAGAAACATAGGTTTTCGTTGAAAAAAAAGACAATAAATTACAAAAGTTAAGAAATTTAAATATCATCAATGTGCAACCCTTTGTTATCGTCAAATATGTATTTCGTGAAAGTATTGTTTAATTATTTTGGTAGGAATGTACCTTCCAGAAGTAGAGAGCAGAGTTTTTGTTACATACAACAGAGGCAGAACGGTCACCTATTCCTCCTACAGGCGGAGTCAAAATAGCCAGTAAGTACACAACACAGAGTTAATCCTTAACCTGACGTCATATATTCCTCTAACAGAAGGAGTTAATATATCAAGTAATTACACAAGGTAGGGTTAACCCTAACCCTGACGTCATATATTCCTATTACAGACGGAGTTAACATAACTTAAATACACAACACAGAGTTAACCCTTAACATGACGTCATACATTACTCCTACAGAAGGAGTTAGTATAACCTTACTTTAGTAAGTACACGATACAATACGTATTAGAATAATAACCTGGATTTCCTATAGAGGTTAGAATGAATCCCCTTTCCGATATATCAGGGTAGGATGATAACCACTCTTCCATTGGCATTTATCCAATCAAAGATTCACATATATTACAATGCAGGACAAAATAGTACCCTTTCATGAGATATTAACCAATCAATGATTCGCATTCATAACAAAGCAGGGCAGGATGGTTACCTTTCATAATATGCTATCCAATCTTTTATTTGTTCAAATTACAAAATAGAGCAGAATGATTACCTTCCAAGAAATATATGGAGATAAGGAACAGTATTCACAATCAAAAGTTTATCAAACAATTCAAAATAGGAGCAGAGCAAATACGTACCTCCAAAACATCAGAGGTTGGATCAGGTGCCATGGAGGATTGAGCATCCAATGCAAACCAGTCACATCCATCGTTTGTTCCTTGTCATGATCGGGAAATAGCGAAAAAAACGTCGACAATTAAGTATAATGGACTAATTACATGTAGAGTGAAATACGTCAGTCAGCTTTTGACTCAATGATAAATTGAATTTGCTGACAAGGTTAATTAACTTAAACTCAATACTGCAAAAGATACCATAGAGCCTGGCCCATTTTTTAAAATATGTATTTTGGTAGAAAAAGGCATGACATTTAATTAACACCAAAACGTAGGACAAACATGATGCTTTAATTTTTCTATGGACAATTTTCCTTACACTTTCAACAGTTGTATCTGGAATTTATCTCCACGTCGATACATAAAAGCTTGTTCTGTGAACAAATAATACCTAAAACGAGGCAGGTTATTGACACATAAGCTGATGATACAATGATATCTACAGATTTGTTTAAAGTCAATTTTTTTTTTACATTTTCTATTTTGGAAAGATTGACCTTGTCAGCAATGCAATATATCATTAGTCAAATTGATATTTTACATACATATTTAGATATCTTTATTAGCTCTGCTCATGATTTGATTTGTTTGTATGGACTTTGAGCTTGATAACTGTCCGTAATCTCCATATTCCCTCCCTGTAGTCGCATATTAGTTTGTCTCTTTATTAATTGTAGTCGCGTATTAGTTTGTCTCTTTATTAATTGTAGTTGCGTATTAGTTTGTCTCTTTATTAATTGTAGTCGCGTATTAGTTTGTCTCTTTATTAATTGTAGTCACGTATTAGTTTGTCTCTTTATTAATTGTAGTCGCGTATTAGTTTGTCTCTTTATTAATTGTAGTTGCGTATTAGTTTGTCTCTTTATTAATTGTAGTCGCGTATTAGTTTGTCTCTTTATTAATTGTAGTCGCGTATTAGTTTGTCTCTTTATTAATTGTAGTCGCGTATTAGTTTGTCTCTTTATTAATTGTAGTCGCGTATTAGTTTGTCTCTTTATTAATTGTAGTTGCGTATTAGTTTGTCTCTTTATTAATTGTAGTCGCGTATTAGTTTGTCTCTTTATTAATTGTAGTCGCGTATTAGTTTGTCTCTTTATTAGTTGTAGTCGCGTATTAGTTTGTCTCTTTAAAATACCATTACGTAACAGAGAGGAGCAGCTAATTTATTTGAAACTTTTTTGTCTCACTCTATCTTGCTTTTTCTTTTGGCCTGCTCAGGGTAATTAACAGAACAATACATTTGTATAAAACTTATTATGAGCACTATAAATAAAAGGTGAAACCAGTATTTAAAGGGGCATAGACACAGTCTCAGCTAAAAATTATATCCATTTTTTATGGTTACATGTCACAGAAGAAAAAAACCATCTATTTTTTATTATTGCTTAGTTTGACCTCTATGTATTGTCTTTAAAAACAACTCATTAACTAAGGATCTTAGTTTAAATTTAGTACACTGCGTTGTTTTTTAGGTAATTCTTGTATGATGTGGATTTTTGTTTCTTTTAACTACTTTGCTTTGTTTTATTTTTTCAGAAGTACTTTTCGGGTAATGTGGATTTTTCTTTCATTTGATTTATTTGCTTTGTTTATTTTTTCAGAAGTAATTCTCATCTGATTTGGATTTTTGTTTCATTTGACTACTTTGCCTTCTCTCAGAAAATATTATTTCATTTTTATTTTTTGCTTTGTTTTTTTTTTCAGAAGTAATTCTCGTGTGATGTGGATTCTTGTTTAATTAGAGTATTTTGTTTATTTTCAGAAGTAATTCTCGTCTGATGTGGATTTTTGTTGGTCTCTTTTTCGGATCCATAGTTCTAGTTCTTCTGTGTTTCTTTTGTTACATCAAATGTAAGAGAAAAACACCAGAGACAGAGAACAATTCGGGAAATGCAGGTATGAAATCTTCTCCGATATTGATAGTATAGGGAACACGACATTTTTTTCTTTCACTCGTTCCTTAATTGTTTTGTATATATATACCTTACCAGATGTCCCTAGGTAATGAGTTGTAAAATGATGCTTGGAGTTCGATTCTTGATTTCTCTCCGCATCAAGCTTAATACTTAAATGTATATCAGAGTATCCTCCTGGTTAACAAATAAGTTGGAAGGGAATAACAAGTATACAATCCAAATATGAAACAGATATGTCGGACTCTGTGGTTCCTTTGATTGGCAGTTCACCGATATATATTAATTTGACATATAAATTTTAGCAAATATTCTTAACTGATAAAAATTGTAGAAATGCGGGAATCCTATTGGAAGGTCAGGGGAAGTATTTTCGTCTTACGTAGATGTTTTAATGTAATGTATTGTACTTTCTGCATAATGATTGTTTGAATCTTTGATAGTCACTAATGTGAACCATAGTATCGACCTGATATCTTGCAAAGTTAAGAGCCTCCTCCACTCCCCCGCAATTGAATAGTAGCAATTGCGAGGTACATTCAATATTACATATCTGCATTGTTTGTCTAAACCTATGTTACATAAAAGATGTATGTTCTTTTTGCAGTGTCAGTGGTACGACTGCCAGATACAAGATATGATATAAATCCTCCTCCTAGCTATTCTCAGACAGTACAAGACGGACACCGGACCCTCAAAGTATCTGACCCAAACGGTCCTCCTAGATACAGTGATATCATTAGTCCCCCGGGGAATGTCGAGTCCACTCCGGGGTCATCTACTCCGACGACAGAATCCGTCAGTAGTCCATCAGCCTCTGCCGCTCCCAGTGACATCGATATCAGATCGCACGTGGAGACACAGACAGGTGGGTCAGACCCCGAGGACCGGTCAACAGCAGGAGACAGTGATGAACGGAAAGATGAGGCACATACTCCGACCAACGATAAAGCAGGACTTATTGACAATGAAATAGAGGGCTGATGACATTCTATAATAAAGAACAAATAAGCAACAAATTCAGACAGAATTATTTATTGTTAAAATACTATTTTGAAGTACAATCATTGTTAGTTATATTAAAGCTCATCAAATCTAATTTCCCGAAAAATAATGGAGTATTGATTTCTTAACCCATTAATATGAGAATCTCTTCAATATATGTTCAAGAGAAAATATATTAGTAAAAAAAAATCATAATACAGTACCTCAAAGACGAAATTTTATCTTCTTTTACACATACCCTCAACATGAAATTGTGCAAAATTGGTAATATTTCATTCAATTTATTAGACTCATAGAAACAAAGATTCGTTTATTGTAAAATAAGTCATCCATATAATGACAGAGGTAGAAAACTTGGGGATTGTAATTTGGTTTCAATTGTGACCATATAATTCTAATTTTAGACATGGATTAGATTGTTTTCAATACGGCTCTGTGATGAACTTTCCTTTTCGACCGTTGTTCTGTACGGAAACGTAAGAAGCATGTGGAATAGCATAGATAAAAAATCATTTCTCAAAAGTGACTTTTCGGGTTATGTGCTTAATTTCGATAATTTTAATTGATTTTCATAATTTTTTTTTAATCAGCAATTATTAGATTTTATATTTAGAAAGTTGCTTGTCGTATCAATTTTTTTTTAAAACAAATCCATTAGCTTTGACTTTGGCATTTCAAGAAAATAACGTTATCTGTATCATTTAACATTGTCTATCTATTCAAAGAATCATTTTCAATTTTTCAAATAATATGTTGGATGTCAACTACAATTTTATCGCAAGTAAACCAAGAACTACTGTTTGCATGTATAAACGAATTATATGGTGGTAACGAATAGTTTTCAATCTCAAAAGTCCATTCAAATGATAGATATCAGGAACAGAGCAAACACATACCTCTAAAACATCAGAATTAAGATCAGGTGCCATTGAGGAGTAAATATCTCCTGCCGACCGATCACAACGCCCTATTTTCCTTGTCCTTTTCCTTGATCGAGAAATAAATGAAAATTTCGTTGACAAAGACCGTATAGCGGGTATTTTTAGCGGGGTGCTAACTTTGGCTAATTTTAGCGGTTTTATAGTCAGCCGCTGAAATTTTGATCGCCATTTTTTTTTTTGTACTCTTTATTATCACTAATGAGTACAAGAAAAATCACTTAAATAACTTTGATCTGCCGTTTTATAAGCAATATTTGTTTAAATTGTTATTCAAACGTATATCAAACATACTGAACCTTATCTAAAAGACGAATTTCTTCTCTTTTGCTTTGTCCTGGCATGGAACTCCGTGTCCGCCAAAATTATTTGCATACCTTTGAGCAAGCAAAACGCCAAATTTTACACCCGCTTTACGGTAGTACAAGTATGAAAATATCAGTCAGAATTTAACTTATTGAAAGATTATATATTAGCTGACAAGGTCTTTGTATCGACCAAAGAACTTGCGGAAAGATAACATTTTAATAGACTGTTTATATTCTTTTTTGAAAGTGTACGTATGTTGAGTATGCTCTTGCGTATCGAATCCATATGCAGATTAAAAGGTATATTGTTTCATATGTAAAGGAAGCTGACGATAGAAGTTAAGTCATCAAATTTATCTTCAAGCTTGGTTGTTATATTACAATTAATGCCTTTTTCTGGTAAAATATCCACATATGAGACAGATGTACCAAACTATGTGGTATTGTTTATTTCATGCTCACTGGGATATATCGAGTCGACATATGAATGGATTGATAGATCAGAGTAACAAAGATTGATTGTATATTGTTTAACGTCCCTCTTGAGAATTTTTCACTCATATGGAGACGCCACCATTTTCCGGTGGAGAGCTGCAAATATTGTGCTATATATACTCGGCACTCAGGATCATTGAGCAGTGAGGGATCTTTTTTCGTGCCAGCACCTACTGCGACACGGGACCTCGGTTTAAACGGTCTCTTTCGAAGGACCGGTCTCTACGTCCCACAGTCGGATTCGAACCCGTGACGTAAGGATTTAACTCCCTACTCCGTGACTCTAGAGCAGACGCTCTAACCACTGCGCCATGTACATGTAGGCGACCATATGAATGGAAGAAACTCATATGAATGTAAGAAACTGTTTTCCTCATCTAAGTATAAGAGAAATAATAAATTGACATATACATTGTAAAAATTACTTGGTTTTTGATGATCTGTACCTGCTGTCGTTGTCGAGAATCACACAAAAGTAAATGAGGAGGCAGGTTGGGCGAGAATGTAAGATTACATTTGAAACTGACTTTGATGTTGGTTTTTATTGATTGATAGATTGATTGTATACTGTTTAACGTCCCTCTCCAGAATATTCCACTGATATGGAGACGTCACCATTGCCGGTGAAGGGCTACAAATTTAGGCCTATGCTCGGCACTCAGGGCCTTTGAGCAGGGAGGGATCTTTATCGTGCCACACCTGCTGTGACACGGGGCCTAGGTTTATATGGTCCGTAGCACCGCCCCATTTAGTCGCCCTTTACGACAAGTAAGGGGGTACTGAGGACCTATTCTAACCCGGATCCCCACGGGGCATGTTGATTTTTAAAGTTGGTTATTTATAAAGAAAAACAACTATATCTTTTAATGATTGGCAGTGGATTATAAAGTCAGCATTATACTTAAATCAATATTTTTTCTCTGTCTATGTTTATACATATCTTTAATAAACTTTATTTCTCAACTTAGAATGAAGTGTTTAGAATAGTCTTATAACATTTTTTCTTAAAATACTAAGTTTAAATTGAAGAACAAGAGTTTAACAGTATTGATAATTCTGTTGCCTTTTAAAATGTTTGTACGAAAACAAAACATGAAAAATGTAATTTTGATTTTTTTTTAAAATGGGATAAAAGACCTCAGAAAAGAAAAAAAAATCTGCAAATAAATAAACTATGAATTTTTTTGTTCATACAGAAATCTTCGATAAAGTTGCAAGAAAATAAAATTTTTCACTGAGACAAAGAGTCGTCTTTGAATGTTGGGAAGGGCAAGCAGAGAAAAGAAAACCCAGGATATAAACAGGAAAATCGGAAAACGGTTTGGAAATTTTACTACTGTGCAGCTGTAGTAGAGATTACAGCAAACATGCATCTTACAGCAAAGAGATTTTCATTCTCCGTGGCTTTAAAACATATATTGTGAACTTAACAGATATAACAGATTAAGTTAATAATAAAGCTGTATTATCGTTATAAGTGTGTTTTACTGTATATAAACATCTTAAGGTTATTAAATTTCATTTAACATCATATACAACAAACTTTTTACTTGTTTCCTGTACAAGAATCTGTCAGAAACCTAATGGTTTTGGGGTCACTTTTTAAAAAAATTACAACTTCCTTAAAGTGTCTCCTACATATTTATTTTAATAAGCAGTTATACAATTTTTTTAATAGGACCATTGAACGCAATTTTGTCCCTAAGCCATAGTAAAGATATTACTTCGTTGTGTCAAGTATCACATCTGTCTGATTTTAAATTTTATGCTGACAAATTAATCAATTTGCTTATCTATTAGCTTTCTGATTCTGACAACTATTACCATTAAAAATCCAGAGGTCTACAGTGATTAAAGAAAACCACAATCATTATCAAGTATGAAAAATGTTATCTCGCAATTCTTTAAGTTGAGGTATACTGCTTAAAAGTTCATAGATTCTTGACATGCTGATCCCACTCTCAACAAGGCATTCCTTAGGGCAAGTCCTCAATATTTCTTTCATAGATGCATCATGCACAAAGCCTGGGATTCCTTCTTGGAGCATTACATACACTTTTGGCAAGCCTTTATCTAAATCAATGATCCCAGGGCCTCCAGAAGCACCATGAGTTGTAGATTCTGAGCAGTGGAAGAGTACCCTTACCTTTAGCCTCTTGTCGAAATCATAAGCTTTTTTAATTTTTTCTGTCTCCAATTCAGGATAATTACTCTTCCACCACAAAAGTGCTTTACAGTACGTTTGAAAGGCTTCACATTCCGAAATTAAAGGACATTTTCTGTCAATTATCTGTTCATTGCCATGGTAGGCTGGGTGACCAATAATGGTTACATTTTCTGGTTGCTTGCGAGATATATCCAAAATAAATGGCTTTGGTAATTCTGTCCAATCAACTTCTAATAAAGCAATGTCATCTTCTTCCTGTTTGCTGTAGAATGGAATGTCATATCTCAAAGGATATGGTTTATAGTTAACGTGTTCTCTTGTACGACCAAAATATACATAAATAGGGTTGTCCTCGATGTATTTCATGGATTTGTCTACAAAAAAACGGCATTTTTTAGTAGATGTAATAGTGAGCCCTTTGTATTATCTGCGTGAAAAGGATATATTTAAATAGAGAAGTATATTATTCAAAGAAATGTTGATGTGTCCATGGGAAATGTTTCTGAAAATTTAAACCCTCTTTATGCATAAAAAATATATAAAAATATTTCAATGCTATACTTTCACGTTTAAAAGTCAAATTTGATTAATTTAAAGCATTTGTATACCGCCTCTTCAGAGTAAAATTACATAGCATAGGTTGACCAAAATGCAGTAATAGTATAAAAGTTGTTAACTGCTCAGGGTGTCTGTGCGTACGGGTCACTGTAACGTTTTCTTTAAGATACATTTTAAATTCATTCAATATTAAAAAAAATACGTTTAATTAGGGTAACATGTGAAATTGTTACCCCCTAGAAAATATTTGCAGAACTCAGATTACCTTCAGTTAGCAATTGTTTTCGAGGGAATACTATTTAACATGCTACCCAAAAAGCATGTAATTCTAGTATTTTTATTATAACAGAGTTTAGTAGGGAAAATTATTGCATTAACTTTGTGTAGATTTCCACAATAGGCTAACATACAGTTCTCTAATAAGAATGTCTTATAATTATCCAAAATTCTACGTACTGTTCGAAAATGCGTAACTTTTTAAAGTTTACCATGAGAAAATCGATAGAATATAAATGTCACAAAAAGTTTGAATTGATTTTTTTTTTTTTTTTTTTTTTTTTTATAGAATTTATTACCATATCAATATAATGTGAACTTAAGGACAGACGAGAAGTTCCTTAATAATAAATAAGTTTTTCTAATAGTTTGTCATTGAAGTATTGCTACTTAAACATGTTTACTCACAAAAAATGGAGGTACCTTACCATGCATTTCTGCAAGATACCAGGGGTAGTTTTTCTTATATAATCCTTTGGGGAAGAAAAATAATTTTCCAATTTCAAATGTTTAAGTGTTTGGAATTTTTAAAAACATTTAGAAACTGGTTTAGAAACCAGAATGTTATTAAAATTTTAAATATATTTTATTTATATTACGAAGATATACAAAACATATTTTGAGGATCGTCTAGTCTGACCTTAAACATTATACGATGTATCCTTTAAACTTTTATATCTGTTCTTCTTTAGACTCTAAAGAAACTTCGGGTATATTGTTTTTCCTTCTTTCCGTCCGTCCGTCTGCCACACTCTTCTTCCTCAAACCCCTTTTACATTTTACACAGAAGCCTAATCATCTTTTAGGAGATAGTTGATGGTGTCATGTACACGGTAGATTTGCATTAAGATTTTGAAATTGTCATTTTTACTCTGGGGGTTAAATTGGGGTCGAAAAATAATGTTTTTAATTCAAATTCATTGGCCCTGGTTCCCTGAACTCCTCTTACATTTTACACAGTAGCCTAATAATCTTTTTGGAAGATGGTTAGTGGTGTCATGTAGAAGTGCAGTAAGGTTTCAGAATTTTCATTTTCACACTTGGAGTCAAATGGGGGTCGAAAAATGATGTTTTTTTTATGCAAAAAGCCCTTGGTTCCCTGAACTCTTCTTACATTTCACATAGAAGCCTAATTTCTTCCTGGAGATAGTTGGCGGTGTCATGTAGATGTGCATCAAGGTTTCGGAATTTTTTTTTCACCAGGGGGGGGGGGGGTCAGATGAGGGTCAATTTAATTTTATTAATTAACATGTTTAATCGCCCACTTGGTTCTCCAGAACTGGAAGATGATTGGTTTTGTCACGTGGATGTGTAAAATATTTTCAAAATTTGCATTTCCATGTGGATGCCAAATAAGGGCAGGTAAACAAATCACCCATTTCTAACCCATATGGTCATGATTTGTACAAACTTGAATCTACACTTCTTGAGAAAGTTTTCATATTGATCATGCTTTTGTTGTTTTTGAAAAGAAGAATTTTGATGAGTGAAAAAAAATCTTTTTTCCTATATAAAGCTTTGAACCCTTTTCTGTGGCCTGATCCTACCCTCGGAGGTTAAGATTTGAAAAACTAGAAATATGTCCATAGGACATGAATTACCCACTAAATGTATTTTACTAATACAACATGAAAATTTGTTTTGGTATATAAAATTTGATAAGAATATCTAGAACAGTTTCTTTAAAATTGAAACTTAAATCTAAAATAATTGATTATAGATTTAGTAAAAATATCTTCAATTGTTTCGTTAGAACTAAGCAAAATACAAAGTAAAGAGAAGGGAGGTCAGGGTCACAGGAAAGTGCAATGTGAAAAGTTTTTTGATGAAGTTGAATAATTTTACAAATACTTATCAGCATATTAGGTTTGATAAAGATATCTTGGATGATTTTTTTGAAACTGAGCCGAACGCTTATTTAAGAAAGAAGAGGTCAAGGTCAAAGGAAAGGCTAAGGTCAAAATGATGATGCAGTTGTAAAGCTTACGTCAGTATCAAGGTCAAATGAAAAGTCAGGGTCAAAAAAGGTTGATGCAATTGATAACTGTTAGCAGTATATATATCAGCATTTGAAGTTTTATAAATATATTTTGGGTTGTTTTTTTAAAAACTGATCTAGACACTTATTAAAAGAAAAATGAGGTCATGGTCATTTAGGATGTATGGATAAGTAGTACAGATAAATATTTTCATACGCCAAAGAGCTGAAGAATTAATGTGCATTACTAAAGAATATGAGGAATTTGGTGAAATTCTATGTAGCATAGGATCTTTTTGGTAAAATTGTGAACATGTAAACAAGTGGACAGGGTGACAGGTCGACGGGAAGACAGGTCGACAGGATGACAAGTCGACGGGTTGACATACTGTTTGTTTGACGAGTCGATTGGTTGACAGGTCCACAGGTTGAAAGGTTGACAGATTGTTTGCTTGACAGGTCTACAAGTATACAGTAGAACAAGTCGACTGGTTGACAGGTCAACGGGTAAACTTGTCGACGGGTTGACAGGTCAACAAATTGACAGGTCGACAGGTAAACGAGTCAACGAGTTGACAGGTTGACAAGTCGACGGATTATTATCTCTAGTAAGTTCCTGCACTAACTCTGATCTCACGGGTAGATTTGAGGACTAACCCTAATATTTCAATTGGGTTCCAGTACTAAGCATAATCTTTCCGATGGGTTCTAGGACTAACCATAATCTCTCAGTAGTTTTCGAGAAAATACTTTTCCAATTAAGTGTCAAGTGTCGGCTTGTCGACATATGTTGTGATGGATAAGATTTAGCAATTTGAAGACCTGTCCACCTTAATTTTGAGAGATAAGAGTTTGCAAATTAAGTGTCAACTGTTGACCTGTCAACCTTAGTGATAATAATGCAGGTTAAGTGTCAAATGTCGACCATTCATAGAAAAACTCTTCATGTGGACTTTTTTAAACGCGTTCTTCTGACGTAATGAGGCAAAACACTCATTTTTTGTTTTAAAAAGGAATCTATTTCTTTCTATATTTAAATTTGATAGATGTTAATCGGTTTTACTGATCTACTTTTCGTATACGCTAGTTGAACCGAAAAGTCAAGGTCAAATATGTTGATGCAGTTGAAAAGCTTCGATCAGTATGCGCCCGCGTGGCGCAGTGGTTAGAGCGTCTGCTCTAAAGTCGCTTAGTAAAGATTTGATCCCTACGTTGCGGGTTCGAATTCCACTGAAGTTCGGATGAGACCGTATAAACCGAGGTCCCGTGTCGCAGTAAGTTCTGTAAGACCCCTCACCGCTCAATGGCCCTCAGTGCTGAGCATAGGACAAAACTTGCAGCTCTCCACCGGCAAGAGGTGGCGTCTCCATATGAGTGAAAAATTCTCGAGAGGGACGTTAAACAACATATAATCAATGAATCCATTAGTATGCATCAACATATGAAGTTTAATTACATTATCTTTAATAATATCTTTAAAACTGAGCTAAACACTAGTTTAAGAAAAGTTAGGCCAAAGTCAAAGGAAAGGTCAAGGTCAGGAAACGTTGATGCAGTTGCATAGCTCTCATAAATATGTATCAGAAAATAAATTTTGATAAAAATAGCTTGAACAGTTTCTTTGAAACTGGGCTTGGACTTAGCTAAAAGCAAAGCGCTACCGAAAGACAGACGGAAGGACGAAAGACGGACATGAAAAACAGTACATGCCTCAACCATATTTAAGGCAGAGCAAAAAAAAAAAACCTTGAATCTACACTGAGAAGATTTTTCCATATCAAAATGACTAAGCAGCAAATTTAAAGAATTTTGGTCCCTTTCCTTTCCGTGTCTTAGTGGATGGGATGCTTTTATTTATGGCGTATTGTTTCAAATATGAACGGCCTATCATATGTTACCCATGAGAAATCAACGAAGCTAAAATCTTTGAAAATTAGGTGAAACATCAAGGTCAAGATGAAAACATAGAACATCTTGTTACAGGTTATGTACATGTCAAATATGAAATTTCTATCTTTCTCAATTAAAAAGTATCAGAAAATATAACATTTATAAAAAATAGGTTAAATTTCAAGGTCAATGTCACAGAGTCAAAAGTCATGATATATTAAAAAAGGTCTTGTCACAGGTAATAAACATGTTTATTATACCTCTATTGATAAACTTGAAATTGATTGGCTGGTAATTTTAAAACAGAACAATGACTCCAAATGGTCCTGTTTATAGCGACAATGACCTAGGAATCATTGCATGTGGGATATAATGACCCAGTCATTTTTATTAATGACCGATATTTAAATGATATCCTCTAAATCAAAAAATCCTTTTTGAGTAAAGTTAATGCATTAAATAATAATTATTCGAGAAAAACAACGTGTTTTTAAAATTGTGCATGGTCTGTTTTGCAGTACCATACAGAAAATGGTAAAGTTTTATCGGTTTACTCATTTCAAAATATGGAATGACACGTTAGAAGCGGCTCTTTAAAGAGTTGAATTTTTTGTTAAATTTTGACTGTGTAGAGGAAAAGTAAACGCTAGTCATAACAATGTATGTCTCTAT